AAAGATCACTTCCAGATTCAACTGCAGTCACACAGAACAGTTGTGGGCCAGTCCAAGTTTATGTTTCCTTCCCCCTCCTAGCCCAGCGCACAACCATCCAGCCTGCCTTAGGCTTTGGATAGAGCTGCTATTTTTCACTCAACAAACTTAAAAAAAAATTTTGTTAATCCTCACCCAACGATATTTTTGCATTGATTTTTAGATAGAATAGAAGGGAGGGAGGGAGAGAAGAGGGAGGAAAAGAGAGAAACATCAGCCTCCCGCATGACCCCGATCTGGGCTGGGATCGAACCTGCAACCAAGGTATGTGCCCCTGACCAGGAATTGAACCTGAGACCCTTCAGCCTGATGCTCTAACTGCTGAGCCACACCAGCCTCAGAACTCATTCGAAAAACATATATTAGGCACCAGGAATGTTGCAGGCACCAGATTACTCGCTGGGAATACGACGCGGTGACAGGCAGCCCAGCCCCACTCTCCGTGGCACTGATGCTGCACCTCACAATGTGCGCTGAGTGCTCTCCGTGGGGAGACCCCAACCCATGCTGGCTTTCTGGGGCAAGGGACATAAGACCTAGAGGATGTTAGCCAGATAAAGTAGGGATGAAGTTGTAAATGGGGAGAAGGCCCAAGGGCAAGACCAGGCAGGGAACTGAAAGACATTTCCAAGGTTGGGGAAGATGGGCCCGAAGTGAGGGGGAGGCGAGCGGGACAGACAGTTGAGCCGGAGCCCCAGGGTCCAGGACGGACAGGAGCGGAGCAGCGCGGGAAGGGGGATGCCAGGATCCAGATGACTGATGGGAAAGGAGATGAGTTTAGAGGTGGCAACCTCAGATGTTTGTTCCAAGGGCTGGATGAGTGATGAGAAAATGGGATGGTGGGAGCAGGCAATTCTATCAAGAAATGTGGCTGTAAAGATGTAGGACGGGTGGCCAGAGGGTGGCTTTTGTTTTCATTTTGAAGGCTGGAAAGGTCTTGGGTTATGGGAAGGAGAAGATAGCAGGGGAGAGGATTGGTAGGTGGCAGGATGATGTCCTCAGAAGGTAGGAGGGGTTGGGGTTCAATGTAAAGGGGAAGGATTGACCCTGGGGGAAGGACCCAAGAGCACTGGTAAGAACGCAAGTGGGGCCCTGGCACGGCCTTAGGAGTGGGGTCTCGGATTGAGTGTGAAGTAGTATGGGGGAGGTTATCTGGGTGGGGGGTGGGATGGGGGGAGGTTATCTGGGTGGGAGGTGGGATGGGGGGAGGTTATCTGGGTGGGGGGTGGGATGGGGGGAGGTTATCTGGGTGGGAGGTGGGATGGGGGGAGGTTATCTGGGTGGGGGGGTGGGATGGGGTAAGTTTTGTAGAGAGCAAAGGAAGTGACTTAACTGGCAGGAGAGGGCGGCACACACGTCAGGTAAATGCAGGTGGCCCGTGAGTGCCCGGTAAGGTTGGAGACTACGGTTTTGTAGGGTCATCAGCCTGGGCAATCCTGGGAGCCTCTCTCCCCCTAAGATCAGCCCTGCTTCCCACCACCTCACTCCTGTGCTCAAATCCTCAACTCGGGAATGACCCCCAGATTACAGAAGGGCCAGCCGGGGCCCCATGACAAAATGAAGTTTCCTGGGATGAACTTTATACAATCTGTCCTCAGTGGGGACGCTGGACTCTGTCCTCACAGTGGCCCCTGGAGTGACGGTGGCATCTTATTTTCAGAAGCAGCGGGGCTCAGGCTCGACCTGGTGGAAGTTACTGGGGTCAGGCTGGAGAAAGGCAGACAGAGAGTTTATTTTTAAACCCAAGTGGGCACTACAGCTGCCAGGGAGAAGCAGACGGTTCTTGAGGAGAATAGAGATTGGCAGCTGGTCAGACACTTGTCAGGAAGCCTGTAGGCTGCCAAGTGGGCAAGGGTTCAGGTGGCTGAAGGCCAGGATTTTACACCAGGGGTCGGGATGGGGGTGGGGCAGTTAAGACTTCAGAACCCAGCTGAAGCATTGCCTGGGAAGGCAGTGGGGGCTCCAGGACGGAGCCCAGTGCTGGGCTGCCCCTGAGACAGCGCAGAGTCAGTGAGTATACTGGACACTGCTGTCCTTGTCCCTTCACTCAGGGGGTAGATCAGGCTTGGTCTCCATTCACGGTCAGATGGGCCATATGAATAGCTTTGTGCAGGAACAAAGGTCATTCAAGCATTAGGGGTGTTATGTGAGCATTCGGGGGTGGGGGACTGAGTGACACTTTGTCCCCTGACGAACAGCTGACCTGCAGTGCAGCGTGTGATGGGGTGGAAGGCTCTCACCAGCGCTCTGCACGGAGGATGTTATTATCCGTGGCTTCTTGGGCTCATCGACCTCGTGACACAGGGAGACACTTCTCTCTCAGGTTCAGGGGACCGTGGGCCCTCCTAAGCACTTTGACCCTTTGCAAGGGCTGTCAGTGCGTGTTTCTGGAGTTGTCACCGAGGATGATCTCCAGGTTGTAGTATCTCAGGCCTCTTAAAGGACGCGGTGGCTATGGCTTGAGTCACAGTATTAACCAACATTTATTTCCTGCCTTTGCTTTCAACACCAGAAGGCCTAGAGAGACCCCTGTGAACACCAGAGCCGAGGCCAGGGGCACCTGGGGTTTCTGGGTTTGGTGGGAGGTCCTCAGGGGCCTGTGCGAGGTGGCATGCAGCTCTTACTCCCTTAAATGTACATAGCATCCGTCGTTGTCTGGACCTGCGCTACCCAATATGGTCTCACAGGCCGCAGGTGGTACTGAGCACTTGAATGTGGTCCAGACAATGGGCGATGGGGCTCTGACCCTGGAGCTTCCAGCTGCTCTTTCTCCCCAGGCCCTTGCCTGCTGCTGCTATTTCTTGCTCCCAGTATCTCCTCTCTATCCCTCCATTACTTATTTCCTGTCCCCACCTCTCTCACTATCTGTCCCCTGAACTAGCAGGACTCCCAGAGCCATAGTCCCCAGGCCCGAAGTGGTCTGGCGGAAAAGAAGAATAACACCTATCTGGCACACGCTGGGCCTCCAGTGGGGGAGGGGTGCTCAGCCCTCCTGGGTTCCTTCCTGCCCCAGGTGCAGCAGGAGGAAGCAGAGGTGGGAAAGGAGCAAATTTCCTGTGGGCCCAAGAGTGCTGTGCCCTTAGGACCGGATCAGCAGGGTTTTTTGTTTTGTTTTTTGTTAATCCTCGCCCGAGGATATTTTTTCCATTGATTTTTTTTTTTTTTTTTTTTTTAGAGAGAGTGGAAGGGGGAGAGAGAAACGTCAATGTGAAAGACACACATCGCCTGGCAGGGGATCGAACCTGCCACCCAGGTACATGCCCTTGACTGAGCACTTGAGACCTTCAGTGTATGGGCCAGTGCTCTAACCACTGAGCATCACCAGCCAGGGCCAGATTAGCCGTTTTATCCCCCTTTCTGGAATCTCTTGGGAGGTGAGGACAGACCTCTCTGGCTTCAACCATAAAAGGGAAGTTGGGTCTCTTGCCTTTTAGTAGGGTGCTTTCCAACTCACTTCCCTCTGCTCCGCCTTGAAACCAGAGGGCAGTTATCTTTGTCCGGAGAGCAGAGGAAGCGGAAGGGCCAGTCTCCACCCAGTCTGCAACTATTTCCTGGCTGAGGATGGAAAACTATGCCCTGCCTCCTAGGGCCCAGTCCTAGGTGCTTGCTTCTTGCCTTCAGTGCCCATCCCCTCCTCCCTCCATTATCATGCATCATCATGTTCCCTCTAGGGACTGGAAGTGTCCCCTGGTCACAGTGCAGTCATTGACAGAAAGGAGACACAAGTTGGTATGAGCCCCCAGACATGATCTTTAATTGATGTTTCTGTCCCTGCCTCTCCACCCTGAGCTCCAGATGACCTATTTACAGGATGCTGTATGGAGCCAGTTCCAGGCCCAAGCCAATGCAGCCTCCAATTGTCCCTGGGCGCTACCAGGGTCGGGGCAGGAGGATGCAGACAGCTGAGAGCCATGTGGACTGGTCACAGGATGTCTTAAGTTCTCCACACCCCCACCCCACCCCACATAGGCACACACAGCAATGTCCACGTGTGCAGAGGTATTCACACTTGTGCGGAGATGTGGATCCATATGCTGTGCCCCATGCATCGGCCACCTGTGCACAAATGCACCACTAGAGGGCGCCTTAAAGTATCACAGCAATAGTGCTAAACCCAACCTTCACCCTCTTGCCCCTGCCCCAGCTTGGGGGTGCTGGTGGAGCTGGACTGGCCAGAGGGGTACTCCACACATCTCCCTTGCTTGGGCAGTGCCAGCTGAAGCTCAGTATTGAGGACCCCACTGTGGCCACATCCAGCCACCCAAAAGGGTGTCAATGGGTCTGTCCCCAGTTTGCCCTGAGGGGTGGTGCAGATAAACAGGGAGCCATTTCCTCTGAGATTCCTCCTCGAAGATGTCCCAAAAGCAGAGGGACTGAAATAGGCAGCTCAAAGGCCCTGGGGTGTTCAGAAATTCCTGCTGAGCCTGGGTAGGTATCCCTGGGGAGAGGGGCTCCATTCATTTGTGGCTTTCATCCATAGGTAGCTTGACCCCCATCTTGCCTCTGCCAGCTGGTCTTCAACAGTCAAGGAGCCAGAGCTCCTCTGTCCCAAGCGAGGGTCATGAGGGAAGGCCACGGGCAGGATTTGTGTGTGGGAGGACTGAGGAATTCTGCCCGGCCTCCACCTGTCTCTCAGGCTCCACCGCAGTGGGGATCAGAGGACATAGGGGGAAAACAACTGTAAACTTACTACTCGGCCCTGGAATGGGGGTAAGAAGTGGGACGGGTTTGACAGGGCCTTGAGGAATTTTCTAGAAGCTGAGGATCATACATGAGACCTGCCTTTTCCTACCTTCTCATGCACATCACAGGCAGAGCCCCTAACCCTCCAGGCACCGGGTCACCTCTGGCCTTCCCTACTTGGGAGAGTCCTCCCAGAAAAAGATGGCCCAGTCTGGGACCTCTAGGTCACGCCAGGGGTGGCACCTAAACCCTGAGTCAGCCCCAGATCACCCTTCTTGAAAGGGGGAAGGTGCCATTTTATTTCAGGGACTGTATCTGTATTTTCTAGACCCTCAAATACATGCATCCTGCCAAGGACAGCACGGTGGGCATTTTAGAATTGAAGACAATCCGGGACATGTGGTTGCCGTACCCATAATCTAGGCTCGGGCACGGAACAGGCAGCTTTGGTTTGAATCAGCACTCAAACTTCTCTCCAAGCTCAGCAGGGATGAGAGGAGGGAGCAAGCAAGGATGCCTGGCCCCTGCCTGGCTTGGGGACGTCAATATTCAGTGAGAAGATTCCAGGTGTGGCCATCCCCCGGGATGGCCATGCCCCTGTTCCTCCAGCCCCTCCCACAAATGTCAAAACATCCCCACAACTGCCCTGGCCCCAGCACCCCCAGAGTTACATTCATCAGTTAAGATTCAGTAAAAAAAAAAAAGTAGATTTTAGCCCTCTCTCCCTAAGTCCCAGAGAGCTAAAACCCTGTCCCAGCTGCCTGGTTTTGAGGAAGGGCCATCCCAGGCCATGCCCAGTGGGGCATCCCTCTAGCCCTCCCCCTACCACTTGAGCTATGGCAATCTGTGATGATGGTAGCTACATTCACACAGGGAGAGTTGGTGTGCAAGGCCAAGCCACATGAGGTGGGTGGGGGACCATGAGGGAAATGCCTCTGGACTGGTCCACCCTGGTGGTGTGAAGGGCAGGGCCGCAGCCCCCCACCCAAACCTCCATGGGGCCAGGAGTTGAAAGGCTTGGGCCTGGAAGACATTGCATGGTGCCTCCCTCCATGGCTGGGCAGGGGCAGCCTTCTGGTTCAGGGCTGAGACGTGGGCACCAGGTTCGGAGGGAGGGGGTGGCACTTAGGCCCCTCCGGACCTGGAAGGGAGAGGGGGCATCAGAGAAGCATGTGAGGCGGAGCCCAGAGGGAGGGCCCCGCCCCCAAGCTGGGCCCCAGGAAGTCAGTGCTGGGCCCTGGAGGCAGCAAGTCAAAGGCTGGCCAGGGAAGGGATCTGGCAGGAGGTCAGACAGCGATGCCATGAAAGACAAAACATGTGGGATGCAGAGGTAGACTCTCTTCCAGGGGACGGGAGTTGTGGAGGCGGGGGGCGCACAGCTCCAGGGTCTACTTGGCCAAGGGTCTGGCCAAAGGAAGAACAGGAACAAACGGACCGGGGCCTGACGGGATGACTGGGCAAGAGGAAGTGGCAAGGGCAGACTAAGGACTTTCCTCTCAGAGCAGAACGGGGTTCTCCCACCCCTGTGGTGACAGCAGTGACAGCGGGGGTGGGGAAATCAGCCCTTAGCTCCCATCAACAGAATGCAAGGTGACAAATGAGATGGAGACAAGGACAGCGGAGGGATGATGTGGCTGGCATCACACTGCCCCCTGCTGGGTCGGGTCATACCTTCCTCGCCGGATGTTTCTTCAGGAGCCAGAGGACAGACAGGCAGAGAGAAAGAAAAAGAAGCCATCTGAGACCTTCTCCTCCTCTCAGGGAGGGGTCTTCAGTTCTCATGAGACCCCTGCCCCAGATTGGCTTGGGCCCTGGGGCCTGGACACTAATGACAGGCCCCCTCCTTAGCACACTGAGAGTGTTAGACCAGCTGCAGAGCCCAGACTCGGATGCCCACGGAACACTGTAAGCTGAGTGGGGCCTAGAGGTGGACACAGGCCCTGTCCTGGGCAGCGCTGCTCAGCATCTCTCTGTGGCTGGATCACAGAGGCACAGTGGGGCCCAATTGTTTCATTTTTCAAGAGAAGCTGAACATCAGCATCGTTAATGTAAAATCTCTGGATTTTAAAAACGTAAGCAACTAATTTTTTTTAAATGTTAAAAAAAGACCCTATGCTTGGCTTGGACCATGAAGAGTGAGCTCTGATTTAGCTAACTTCTCAGAGAGGCCCCCTCAGCTCCAGCAGCCTGGGGCCCTCATAACCCCTAGGACACCATGGAGTGAGAGGGAGTGAGGGGGAGTGTGTGTCTCTTACTTAAATCCCCAGCCTGTGCCACCCAGGACGATGGCTGCAACCAGGACAGCCCCCGCGATGGAGCCAATGATGATGTTGGTGCCACTGGGACCTGGGGACGAGGGCAGGACTCAGTTGACAGGGATAGGTATGGCAAACAGAAGACAGAGCCCCACCTCGGACAGCGCCAGTCTCACCCTTATATTTCTCTGTCTCCCCAGTGGGCGGAGATGTAGGCAGGGGGTTGTGAATACTGCAGTCTTTGCCTGTCCAGTCTGGCTGACAGATACACTTCCCTTCATTGCTGCAGACCTAGAGGTGGGGTCAGGCCAGTCAACGTAAGCAGGGCCCTATCCCCTCTTGTAAGTCTCTCCTGCCATCCCTGACCTCCAGGCACCCACCCCGTGGTGAGAGCAGATGCGGTGCTCCCCACTGCCCGGGCAGGTGCTGAAGTTGAAGGCAGAGGCTGGCAGGCAGCGATGATCCAGGCACAGCATGTTGGGCCCACAGGCTGTGCCATCCTCCACGTAGCTCAGGTCTGAGCCATCGGCCAGCTGCACATGGCCACCCCTGGGGAAACAGCATAGCCAGCCTCCGCCCATGCCCTCCACCCCATCACAATTGCAATCTCCCTTTCCCCAGCAATGGTTCCAGCCAACACCTGCAGTCCAGCTCCTTGCCCTGGTGGTAGAAGGTGACACTGCTGATGTCTCCTCCTAGGTCCCCCAGCCGAGGAGCTCCAGAGATATTGATGCAGAGGAGGAAGCCACAGAGTACGTCCCTGTTGGGGCAGCATGGAGGCAGTGAGTCCCAAGTCTGACCTCTGACCCAACTACTAAACTTGAATTTGCCTTCTCCCCACGCCCTGATTTTTTATATATTCTGCCATCAGGACTCACAGGCACATCCTAGAAGAATCTACTGTTCCATCCCTGAAAAAAACAAACAAACAAACAAACCCCCAAGTCCCCAAACTGGGGGTGCTCAACCAGGAGCCTTGGCAACTCACTGTTTATTGCACTGGACCCAGCCTGACCCCTTGCGCCCACAGTTTCCACGCTCTGTCCCTTCCACATTCAGTTTCTCATAGCAGAAGCGATCAGCAGCCGCTGTAAGGAGATAATGTGAGGTGTCACCCATCACCCTAGAGCCCACTCCAGGACCTCCAACACTCTGGCTGACCCCTAGTTTGGCTGAGTCCTTGAGAGCCTGGGGAGCCACACATTTGGTGGAGGAAGTATTTAGCCAAAACCTGTCCCCTCCTCAGACTCTTGATTCTGGGCCCTCCTGTGGGGCTGGGGGGTTAGAAGATGGACGTTTTTTAACCTTGTGATAAGCACTCTCAACCTTGTGTTAATGCATTCTTGGAATCCTAGCCTGGGGGCAGGGGAGGGGGGAAACCTGGCCTGCCCAGGTGTATTGGATGCTTTGTTTGCATGTGAATAAGGGTTTGTTATCTTTTGGCTTCAAGGTCTCTTCCTGTAAAAAGCAAGAGACAAAGCTAGGGTGTATGTTTGCAGTAATGCCATCTCAAGGAAATTATTTACTTAAATCCACTTGTGACCTGGAGGTACCAATCTGCAAATAAATGGGACTGCTTCCAGGGAACTGGAGCATTTGCTACCTTGCAAAGCTCCCCTTCACTCCAAGCAGTGTGTGCTTGTAGTTTCGTTGCATTGCACGGATCCCGGCAGGCCGAGAGATGATGGCACCCTCCAGAGTTTTCTCCCACTCCTAGCCAGACTCACCATGGCCCCAAAGGGCTTGGCACTGCTGACACCCTCCAGAGTTCCTTCTCCCACTCCTAGCCAGACTCACCATGGCCCCAAAGAGCTTGGCATTGCCGGTCCCGAGTTTTGCAGCGACCTCCGTAGCAGCGGCCCTAAGGGATAAACAGAAGACAAAAGAAAGACACACTGTGTGGTCAGAGTGGAGACAACAAACTGTAGTGAACCAGAAGCTCCAAGGGGGAGGAGACCCTCACCCATCATACCTGTTCATGATCACAGTAGTAACCGTCCAGCTTATGTAGGTTAGGGGGACACTGCAGAGAGAGGGGCTGGACTGAGCAGAGCAGCCCCACGACTGAGAGGTGAGACTGGTCCCAGGGAGGAATTAAAGGGTGGCCTAGGCCCCCCCCAAGTGGGGGCTCAGGTTCAGGGTTCTTCGGTGTCAAGAACAAAGACCTGGTTTGGAACTCAGACCACGCGGGTTGGCAAGTCCCATAGCCTCTCCAGTCTCCCTGTTTCCTGCACCTACTTCACAGGGCTGGGAAAACTAAATGGCCCATAAAACGGACGTAAGAGATGTTAACTAATATTAGCATCCACTCCAATCCCTAGCACACACCAGGACCACTCCAGGCGCTGGGAACACCAGTCAGACTACAAATTCTGGTTTATAATGGAAAGAGCAAAGCCAGGAGACACAAAGAACGCTTCCCTCAGATGAGGAAACTGAGGCTAATCAGCGGCAGCGATGCCAGCAGCCGAGCGGAGGGGCGTGGAGAACGATAGGATTAGGGGCTGCCTCGCCCGGGATTCTGCAGGGCGGCCGGGCTGGGCGGACCTGGCTAGAGTCGCCGGTGCAGGTCTCCGCGATGTCGCACTCGTTCACGGCCTCTCGACAGGACACACCCCGTGGTTCGTACTGAGGGAAGGATGCGTTTCAGGGCTCAGGCAGAGACCGCGGACACGACGCCCGCCGTCTCCCCATGGCCCCGCCCCTAGGTCTGTGCCCCGCCCCCCACTCGCTCCCAGCCCGCTCAGAGACGCCCCAAGCTTGCTCACGGTTCCGCTCCTCCCACTTCTCAGCAGACGCCCGCCCCGCTCCTCGTAGCCCCGCCTCAACGAGCCCGCACGCCCCGCCCTTCTCCTTCCCCATTGGCGCTTTCTTCGCGTCAAGCACCGCCCCTCCTTATGTGCCTCTTCCCGCTGCTTCTCCTTCCTAAATCCCACCCCTTATAGATCGTCAGCAGCTGGGTCCCTCCTGGTCCCGTCTTCTTCCAGCCCCAGCGGCGGGTCCCCCTCACCTTGCAGCGGCGACAGCAGAGCCCGTCGCTGCACATGGCATCATGAGTCAGGGTGCATTTCTTGCAACAGTTCCCGCCCGCTCGGCTGCACTCCTGAGGGACGCAGGGAGGAGAGGGAGGCGGGCGAGCCCGGACCCTCCCCACCTAGATCCTCCCTTCCGCCCACCCCCGAGTCCCCTGCTTCCACCTGGCGCTGGTCTCACCTGCACAGAGCCGCAGTCACATTCCTCCCCTGCCTCCACGAAGCCGTTTCCGCACTCAGGGGGATCCAGTAGCTGGACCGGGAAGGAGAGTCGGGAGTCTGACCAGGACCCTACCCAAGCCCCGCTCCCACGTTCCTCGCCTTTGTGCTGGTACCTTGAGGGGCTTGTTGAAGAGACAGCTCCCGCCGCCCTCCTGCAGAAACTGGTTGTACTCGTCGATGCTGCAGCGCGAGAACTTGCGGGGCAGGTAGAACCTGGGCAGGGGTGAGGAGACGTTGCCGCTGGGTCTGGGCCTGCGCCCTCCCCTCCAGCCCACTCTTTAGCCCCTTCTCAAGATTGGGAATAGGCTGCACCGGGAACTCGGTTACCCTCTCGGGGAGACTGAGGATCAGTATGCCTGGAGATTGCACAAAAATCCTCCTGCCTGCCCATCAAGCGGGAGCGTGTGGGGGACACACTTCTGTCCCCTTCCTGCAACCTGAGGACTCCGAAAGTCAGAGGTTGGAGTGCCACGGAGGAAAGGTGCCTCCAAACGAGGCTTTGGCGGCACCCTGTGGCAACAGTGCGCACTACAGTCTGGTTAGTTTTGGTGTCTTGCAGGGGAATCTGGGTCTCATTGTGCAGTGTTTCATAGAAAACCCGATTTCTTGAAATCCTGAGTGGTCCTGACAGCTGGGCCTTTTGAAGCCACCAGGTTCACACTGTCACCCAGTGCTCACTCTGGGACTTTTCTTACTCAAGGCCTTCTCCTGGTTTGTCCCCCAAAACTCACCCAGTGTCCTCCATGATGCAGCCCAGCCAGTTGTCTGGACACTTGCAGTCCCCTGAAAGGTGATCCAGGAGTATATAAGGGAGGGAGGATGACCAGCCCCCCTCCCACGGACACCCTCTTTACTTCTGGGTGTGGGTTTGGTCTGGTTATGGGGCCACATGGGGTCTTCATTGATACCTGCTGAGCTCCGGTGTTTATTCCACATCATGCCTAGGTTCTGCCCCAGCGTCTGGGCCAGGGTCACCGCCATGGCCCCCATGTTGTCGTACTTGGGGTGAGGAAGATGAAGCACAAAGATGTCTACATCCCTCTGACAGGCACAGGGCTCATGCCCTTAGCAGCCCCTCTCCCTCCCCCCGCTAACCCAACTGTGCCCCACTCTGCTCACCTCATTCACACCCCCACCCCTGGACAGAGAGCAGATGCCTCCCACGTAGGCAGCCCCACTACTGGTGCTCTGGAAAGTCCTGCCCCTGAAAGGGAGAGGGTTGTTAGGAAAGCTTCATGCCTTATCCATAGTGGTTCCCATGGGCTGAGAGGCAGACCTGGGGAGCCTCCCCAACTACAGCCCTTCCTTGCGGTGGTCAGTATTGCCCTTCATGTCAGCCTGTGTGGTCTCAGGCAAACCCTTTCCCCTCTATGGGTTTGTTTGCCCATAAGCCAAATGAGAGGTTCCTATTAGATCATCTCTAATCACAAAGACCTTTCATCAGATCTTTCCCCTACCAGGAAGGGATTCTGGGACAGTTTGAAAAGGGAAGAGGTAATGCAGGGGAGGTGATGGGCAGAGGTGATGGCATAGGTGACTGGGGATAGGCGAAAGGGGCATCAGCTTAAGATGCAGGCGAGGATGCCGAGCCTGTTGCTAGTGGCTGGGGGCAGGTACAAGATCAGACCGACCAGTCCCAGACCCTGCAAGATGACCAGGCACAGAGCAGGTGTTCAATAACCTTGAAAATCACAGCTACCAGCAGAGGCTGGCAGGATGCATGGGGTAGGGCACTCACGAGAAGAGGTGGGTGGCATCGCTGGGCTCAGGCAGGCCCTCCCGCCGATAGACCATGAGCCGGGCCAGGGTCTCCAGGAGGTCATCTTGCACCTGGATCTTGTCCCCATCTGCCCATGTTTCCATGGCAACCAGTACTATCCGGGTATTGAGCTGTTCCTTGTACATCTGGGCTCAGATGGGAGAAAATGGGGAGAAAGCTGGAGGGTGGGAGTGGGTGTGGGGGGGGATAAGGCTGGAGGAGGGCTTCAGTCTGTGCTTCCAGGAAGTGGAGTACATGGCTGAAGTGCCCTGGATTGCTCACCCCAAGCATGTATGTGGCTGGGTGGGGAGTTTGGGGTGAGAGGGAGGGAATGGGCAGGTTGCTCACCACATCTGCCAGGTTCACCACGGACTTGGCAAAGTTGCTGGTGAGGACCACGGACTGTCGCATCTGCTCAAACTGGAAGAAGAGTGGTGGAGGGCAAGGCCGCTTCCCGCCCCTCCTCCCAGATGGCCCCCAGCCTGGGAACTTACCAGCTGGTGGTCATTGATCACGATCAGCTCCACATACTTGGTCTCGCTGTGCACTGTAGGGTGGCCCCGGCGGACCTGGGGGATGGGTAGGCACTTGGAATCAGTCCCCTCCATGCCTGGCATCATGTCCAAGCCATGGACAGACTTAGGGGACTGGACTCCAGCCAGGGACAATGCCAGTTCCCCATTGGTGGGGGTCCCATCCCTCCCCAGCCTTGGTATGAGGGGGAGACAACCCGTTAGCCCACCATGGGGACACTGGCATTAGGGAATGAGGTGGGGGCCTCCCTCCCAGAGATAGTTCCCTGGCCCCCAGACACATCAGTCTGAGCCCTTCTTTGCCCCAGCCATGGATGGGGGTATCCTCCTGCTCTGGACCACAGCCTGAGGTCTCTGCAGCCCGAAGTCTGTGTGGGCCCCATACCTGCCTTTTCCTTCTCAGTCTCGGCCGGTTCGGAGGAGGAGAATGGGCAGGGGCAGCGAACAGGCAGTCTGGGGGAAGGGACAAGTGAGGGGGCGCACAGCCAGTTCCCTCTCCAGCCCCCCTTTTCCTCCTTTACCTGGTTCCCTGCATCTGATGGAGGCTGGGATGAGAGGGGTCCGGTAAATGAGGTGGGGACATGGTCCCTGCAATGAGGGGAAATTAGTTCTTGGAAGGCTGACCAGGTCTGCTCTGAGCCCAACAAGGGGGGTGGGGAGGACAGCTCTAGCCCTTCCCCCTACACTACCCTAGAGTGACCCAGAACTGGCCAGAGCTCTCATGTCAGATCTGATCTCCCAGATGCTCAGATTCCAGGGTCAAGACCTGGGGGCACCCTGACAGATAGGGGCAAAGGACACTGGAGCCCAATGGGAGGTTATTTGGGGGACAGAGGGGACACTGGAGCTGGGGGCAGAGGAGGGAATCAGAGCTGGGGTCACTGAGGGCAGTGAGGCTGAGGTTACCAAGGGAGGAGAAGGAGGGGCTGTGACGGCCATCAGGATGAGGATGGCACGGCTGTCAAGAGGGAACAGCGAAGGCTCACCTGGGAGGCTTCCTGAGGTCCAGCCATCTCTCTGGGCTCTATGATGTAGGTGAAGTTCCCGTCAGAGAAGACCCCACTGCAGAGAGAGAGGCACAGCTCCCCACCATCCCCGCGCCCAGGGCTGGAGGCTTTTGCACGCATCCCAGCCCCTCCCCATACTCACTGCAGCCCCTGGCAGGTGGAGAGAGCGGCAAAGGAGTGGGGTTTCCCTCGGAGCTTCCCTTGGTAATAGCAGTGGTCTCCAGCCCCCTGGAGGAGCAGAACATAAGTGGGCATGCCCCCCTGCCCTGGCACGAAGGCAGGAGGACAGGTGAGGGCCGCTGGAGGTGGCCCCTGTGCAGGTGGCTACACCTGGATTTCTACAGCCAGGCTCTACTCCGGTTGCTCCTAATTTGCTGTTTCCCTGGGCAATTTCTTAGCCCTCTTTGGGCCTCCTCTACCTCACCTACAAAATGAGGAAGTTGGACTGCATCAGTGGTTCTTACCCATTTGTTGGGGTTGATGCAGGGAACCCCAGACTCCTTTTTAAAAATTATTTATTTATTTATTTATTCTCACCCAAGGACATTTTTGCATTTATCTTCAGATAGAGTGGGAGGAAGAGAGGGAGGAAGAGAGAGAGGGAAACATTGTGGTGAGAGAGACACATCAAGTGGCTGCCACCCACACAACCCCAACCGGAGCCGGGGACAACCGAGGTACGTGCCCTTAGCGGGAACCGAACCCAAGCCTCTGGTGCACGGGCCGATGCTCTAACCGCTGAGCCAAACTGGCCAGGGCAACCCCAGACTCCTTTGAGAAGACTATCTGGCATTTGTATAACACCTACTATGTGCCACGCACCGTTCTAAGCACTCACCATGGATTATCTCAATTAGATGAACGCTATGACTCACCCCAACAGGCACACACAATTTCACACACAGTGTGTTCACAGATGCCACTGCCTCCGTGGACCACCCCTGGACACGTGGTCTGTGTCTGAGGAGCTGTGAGCAGCATGTGTCCTCCTGGCCCTGGCCCTGCTCATGGGTCAGAGGGGACCAGCACCCCCCCTCTGCTTCCTGCAGAATTACTTGTGCTCCAGTTACTGAACAGGCTGGGGGGGGGGGCGGTTATTTATAGAGACTCATTCATCTTGGCGGGGCCCTGGGCCTCCAGAGCTGGGACCCAGGAATTCCCAGGGCCTTGGTGCTGAGCAGACTGCCCCCTCCCAGAATGCTGGGCACGGAGCAGTGAGGTGCCTGAATGCCTCCACGCCAGGCAGAGGGGTCGCTGGGGTCAGACCTCTGGAGCTGGGCAAGGGGAGCTCAGGGCTCCACACCCTTTGACATGCCAACTATGACCCTCAAAGCCGAGGTGGAGAGAAATGGAGAGTCCTGAGGGGCCAGGCCCATCTCGGATGTAAAGTACTCCCCAGGCCCATCTCCTGTGGCCTCTGTCCTTTCATTCCACCTGCCCTGTCCCTTTCCAAAAGGACTCACAGTGCTATGCTGGGTTGTCCCCTCTCGGCTGAAATGACGTTCCACGTATTTTGAGGAGAGAAGGTGACTGAAACAGAGTGGGCAGAAGGAAGGACGGGTCACTGGCAGGACGGGGTCAGGCTTGAGTCCCGCCCCGGCTCAGATCCAGATGCCCTGCCCTGGCCAGTTCCCCCTCCAGCCAGCCAAGTCCCGGCCATGCCTTGCCCTCCGGCCCGTCACCCTCCCTCCCAGGTTCCAGGCCACACTCACTGGTTCAGCTCCAGGTCCAGAGTGAAGTTGGAGTTGAAGGCTGGGATGACGAAACTCACCTGGGCCAGGTGGACAGGCTGGGGAATGGGAGAGAGCAGAGGGCGGGTCAACCTGGGGAGGCTTAAAGGTGGGAATTGGGGATTCAGGGAGCCTCAGGCCAGGGAGTAGCCCTGGGGAAGGGAGGGGAGGGCCCAGTCCAGCAGCAGTAGGGACCATTTATTTTTGGGGAAATACTTTGCACAAGACCCTGTTCCTTTCCTGGGGGGAGGGGCAGGAGAGCGCACACCTGGGCACAGCCCATGCTGCCCTCTGGGTCCCGCACAGGTGTCAGCCCACCCCCTGCGGGGCCAGTCTGCGTGAGCAGCCAGGATCCAGAGGGGCAGCTTGGACTGCCCACTGCCTCAGGCCAGGCCCTCCCAGCTGCTGGCAGGGCCACCCCACCCTCAGAAGTATTATGGGAAAGGGGCAAACAGGAGATGGGGGCACAGTGTGACCCTGGGAACCTGCCGAAGCAGGTGCCTTCCTTCCTGTCGCCCTACCCTGGCCTGAGCCTCAATTTAAGGATGAGACCGTGGACTCTGCGGACAGGCGTGGAGTGTGCTGGAGATGATGGCAGGGCCCCTGGAAGCCAGAGCAATGGGCAGATGCCTTCCTGTCAGAATGAAAGAACTTGGCTCCTCTACCCCCAAGTCCATTGCCCTCTGCCTTGCCCAAAGTGGCTCATCTTTAATATTTCAATCCCGTGGTTAATTTTTAAACACGGAAGTTTTCCTGATAAATTTTTCAGAGGGGCCTTTGCAGTGGGGCTGGGAGGCTCCAGGTTGTCATGACAACGTACCAGGCCCGAGCAAGCTACTGTGGGGGTTGAGAGCTCCAGACTGGAAGCTGGTGTGCCTGGAAGGGAAGCCAACCCGGGAGAAGGGACAGGAGAGTCTGGGTGGAGGGGAGTTGGCCTCCTCAGTCCCCACATCCCCACACCCAGCCTCGGGTCCTACAAAGGTGGGGACATATGGGAGAGGCCTGGGAGGGGCTGGAGCCTCTTCCCACCCCTGTTCACTTAAGAAGACTGAAACCCAGGCTCCCAGAGGAGGGTCCCACCACGGGGCTGTGCACATGAGAGGAATCTGTTTGTGCCTTTCTTTTGGGAGGAGCGGGTTGCAGGATGAGAGGGATCCCCGGTGTCATGAAAACCCACAGTCCTATGCTAGTCAGCTTCCTCATCAACCACCTAGATCTCTGCTGAGCAGTTATTATGTGCCTGGCACTGTTCTGAATGCTGTACAAGTATTAGCATACTTGATCTTCCCAACAACCCAATGGGATGGGTGCTAACGTTATCCTTACCTGACAGACGGGAAACTGAGGCACAGAGATGCTGACTAATTTGCCCCAGGTCACACATCTAAGAAGTGGTGGAGCTGGGATTCAAACCTAGCAAATCAGCTTCCAGGACCTTGTCACCCCAAAGGTGAGGTAAGATGGAAATGGCCCTGGGAGAGGGGGTGAGGTGGGGGCAAGGGGCCAGAGCCCGGCTCAGCAGCCCTCTCAGCCTCAAGGACATTGATCACTCCATCCCAGGCTGGCTGAGGCTCCGAGCTCTATCCTGAGCCCTAGACCTGGAGCATCTATCAGACTTGAAATAGAAAGTCAAGGACAAGCCCTGGTCGGTTTGGCTCAGCGGTTAGAGCGTCAGCCTGCGGTCCTGAGAGACCCGGGTTCGGTTCCCGCTGGGGGCATGTACCTCGGTTGCAGTTTGTCCCCGGCCCTGGTTGGTCGTGCGGGTGGCAGCCACTCGATGTGTTCCTTTCACATCGATGTTTCTCTCTCTCTCTCTGTTCCTCTCTCTCCCTCCCACTCTACCTGAACAAAAAATGGAAAAATGTCCTCTGGTGAGGATAAAAAAAAAAAAAAAAAGAAAGTCAAGGACAAGTAGTCACTGTCCTCCCTATTCGCCTGGACCCTCTCTGTTCTGCCCCTGCCCCTGGGCCTAAACTAGCTCTCCACTCACCCCACCCTTGGCCTGGACCGTCCTTGCTCTCCCTCTCCCCTCCTGGGCTTGGGGCTTGGACTGTCTCTGCCCAGACCACCTCTGCTCTCCCTTGCTCTCAGGTCTGATCTTGTTTGTCCCTCCCCAGACCCCACCAACAAATCCGTCCCCTCCCCATGCTGGCCATCCAGAAGAGCAGCCTGTCCAGGCTCCTTGTCCTGATTCACACTCTCAGGTTGTGCAGCCTCGGGAAATGATCCAGCAACTTCTCTGAGCTTCAGATTGTCCCAGTGAAAATGCACAAGGCTGTGAGGTTGGCTTGTGTGTTAAGGGTCGTCCTGGGCCTGAAGAGTTCTAGCAGAGTTGGCCACGGTGCTTGCAGAATCTTCCCCACTCAGGAAGTGAGCGAGCTAACCCATCTGGCCTCTCCCCTCTCTGTCCAGAGCAAGCTGACCCCACTCTGGGGAAAGCCCAAACTAATGGGGAGCAAACACCAGGTCCTCTTGGTCCCCCTCACTTTCTGCACCCACCAGAGGCGGGAGGGGGAAGAGCAGAGAGACCAAATAGCTGGGCAGGTTTGTCTGGCCTGGCCCAAATGGCTGGGGGTTACAGGGGGATAATTCCCTGTCCATAGGATGAGAAAGATCAGGCAAACTCCACCTCAGTTCCCAGGCTCGCTGTACCCCAGGCACCTGGGGTGGGGGCTCCTGTTGGCCCCAGAGTCCTAAGTCTCACCAGGCAAGCTTTAGGCCCATGTTCTATTAAAGCCAAATTGCTCCTGGCCTGGCCTGCCTTCTGCCCCTGACCTGCCCCTGACTTCTCGCATTATCCCTCAGGAGCCCCTCCTGTCCCGTCACCCTCCCTCCTCTGGGCCCAGCTCAGCGCAGCTGGTGACCAGCCAGCTGGGCCGCGACCCTGTGCCTTGCCCTTGTTTTGCTCCCTTGCTCCTGGGCCACCCGACTCTCATGTGCTGCGGCTCATTTGATCTCAACCTGCCCAGGATGTCTGGTGCTCATTTTACAAATGCCAGGCCAAGACTCAGGGAAAGACACTTGGAGGTGACTGGCCCAGGGCCATGCTGGGGAGGTAGAGGGTCAAGTCTCACTCTCGTTGGAGTTAATGTCAACCATGGCAGCTGTGGCCACCTGGCTGGAGTGACCATGCCCTCCCCGAGGCTTTCCTGTCACCAGCTCATCGAGCCATCAACTCTTTTTTTTTATATCCTCACTCGAGGACTTTTTTTTTTTGCATTTATCTTCAGATAGAGCGGGAGGGAGAGGGGGGAAAAAGAGAGACATATCGATGTGAGAGAGACACATCAAGTGGCTGCCACTCACATGACCCCAACCGGGGCCGGGGACGAACTGCAACCAAAGTACATGCCCTTAGTGGAAACTGAACCCGGGACTCTTTGGTCCGCAGGCCGATGCTCAAACGGCTGTGCCACACCGGCCAGGGCCAGCCATCCAACTCTTGCTTGCACCCCGTGTCAGACCAAACCAGATATAGGGGGCAGAGGGAAGGAGGCAAAGATCCTGCTGAAGTCCCAAAACAACTAATACGGAGGCCAGGCCTCCACTCCAGACCTACAGAATCAATCTTGGGAAGGGGGAGACACAAGATCTTTAGGGTTCCCAAACACCCTAGAAAATGTGAACATCCAGGCATTGTCCCCCAGAGAGTCACCCTGAATCCCTCTTTCCAAACCTGCATCTCCTGCCAGGACCTCCTCTCCTTCCCCCTCTTCTTCAAAGCCTGCATCCACCAACCAGAGAAGCTCTGGCCCCTCCCTGCTCCTGGGCCACTGGGCAGTTCTTTACATCTTGATTCAGCTTTTCACATGGGTGACCGTCAGTGCCCTGGAGCGCCGGCTACACCCGCCGTTTTCCCTGCCAGGGCTCAACACGCGTGTTGACTGGAAAGGCATCAGAAAGCCCGAGTGAGCTGTAATCTCTCTGAACCTCACTTTCCCCATCGGTGAAATAGGGTTGTCGTGAGGATTAAATGAAAGACCTTTTATTTATTTATTTTTTTTTTATCCTCACCCGAGGACATTTTTCCATTTTTTGTTCAGGTAGAGTGGGAGGGAGAGAGAGGAACAGAGAGAGAGAGAGAAACATCGATGTGAAAGGGACACATCGAGTGGCTGCCACCCGCACAACCGACCAGGGCCGGGGACAAACTGCAACCGAGGTACGTGCCCTTAGCGGGAACCGAACCCGGGTCTCTCAGGACCGCAGGCCGACGCTCTAACCGCTGAGCCAAACCGGCCAGGGCTGAAAGACCTTTTAAATGTGTTATCACAAGGGTTCATAATAATAATAAATGAAAAGAAGGAAATGTAAATGGTCCGGCTGAACAGGGCTTTGAGGAACTGGATAAACTGCAAGAACTGGGTGGTGGCAAATGGGGAGGAGCCAGAGAAGCAGGGACCCCACCTGGGAGAAACTCCCTCCCCAGCAGCAACCCCCCAAGCTCCCCAAGATGCAATGAGGCTCCACTTATCATCAGGGCAGCGGGAGTCCCAGACAGTGAGAAGAATTGGATGAATTTCTGATAACCGGATTTAACCTAAATTTTTGAGGACAGAGTCACTTCCTTACAGGGTCATTAGTCCCTCTGAAGACAGATCCTGGGCAGCTGGGTCCCTTTAGGCAGCCAGCAGGGGTACTCAGGGAGGTCAGGCCCACAGGCCGGAGTCTGGTTGGAGAAGCAAGACTCCTGCTCACGTTGCTCCCCCGAGCCCCACCCACAGCCTCACAGGTAACCCCCAAATGCCCTGGCTCCTGTTTCTGACTCCCAGCCCTCATGCTAGCACCTGGCCCCAACACTCAGGAGGTGGGGCAGGCCTCACAGATGTTGAATATCTGCTCTTGCCAAATCCTAGGCAGGACACCTATATACACCTCAGCTCCTCTAATCCTCACAGCAGCCAGGGCAAAGCGCAGATGACTATTATCCCCATGTCATGGATGGGGAAGGTGGGGTTCAGAAGTCATCGGCGGCTTGCCCAGGCTACTCGGTCAGCAGCAGCGGAGCTGGGACCCGCTGACGCTGTCCTGCTGAACTCCCTCTGCCTAACCTCACTGCGGGGCTTCCAGCCCCCACCCCCAGCCCAGGACAGTCTCCTGCCTCTGATCTCAGGACAGGGCTGTGATCTTGTCTGCAGAAACCAGGTGGCTTTGGCCCTAGTGGAATACCAGGGCTCCAAGATCCTGTGGCTCCCTGCCCTGGCTGCCATCTTGCAAGGGCTGAGACTTGCCCAATTGTCCCCAGCCCTCTGCAGGGAGAGAACTCAAGCACTGTAGCACAGTCCTCAGCTGATGGCTTCCAGGGTGGCGTTTCCAGTACATGCTGCTCTGGGGGTTCTCCCAGGAGCTCAGCCCAGTGACTGAGGTCCCCTCCCCTAGCTGGCTCAGTCGAGGATCTGTCTCCTGGGCTTGGTACCCTACACCCAGACTATCCTGTTCTCTTACCCACATCCTGCCCCCTCCTTGCTTTTGAAGGAGTCTGGGTTTCCCAGGGGCAGCACAACCCACACAGCAGCTTTGTGTGGATTGGGAGAAGGGTCTCCTCACAATGTATGCAGCCTCGTGAGCCCCCCGATTTCATTCAGTCCACTTGCCTGGGCACTCCTGTGCTCTGAACAACCAGCCCACCGGCCCACCGTGGCCCTGCTTGTCCTCCTGCCTCACCCCAATGCAGGCTCCCCGTGACCACAGGTTTCTGCATTTCCAGAAGCTCCCGACTTCTCTGGGCCTCGGGCCCCACCTGCTCCCAAACTGGACAGAAGTGAGGTGTTGAAAGCAGTGGCAAAGAGACCAAAAGGTCCCCTTTGCCCCTCTTCCCCGTACTCCTGAGCGAGAGGCAGGCAGTACACTGGTTAAGAGTGTTTCTCTGGCCCTGGCTGGTTTGGCTCAGCGGTTAGAGCGTCGGCCTGCGATCCAGAGAGACTCAGGCTCGGTTCCCACTAAGGGCATGTACCTCGGTTGCAGTTTGTCCCCGGCCCTGGTTGGGTCGTGTGGGTGGCAACCACTCAATGTGTCCCTTTCACGTTGATGTTTCTCTCTCTCTCCCTCCCACTCTATCTGAACAAAATATGGAAAAGTGTCCTCGGGTGAGGATGAAAAAATAATAATAAAAAATAAAATGCTGTTTGGTATAATAGGGGTAAACTGTTAAAAAAAAAAAAAAAAAAGAGTGTTTCTCTGGCCCTGGCCAGTTTGACTCTGGCCTGTGGTTCGGAGAGACCCAGGTTTGGTTCCCGCTAAGGGCATGTACCTCAGTTTCAGTTTGTCCCTGGCCCTGGTTGGATTGTGTGGGTGGCAGCTACTCGATGTGTCCCTTTCACGTCGATGTTTCTCTCTCTCTCTCTCTTTCTCTTCCTCTCTCTCCCTCCCACTCTATCTGAACAAAAAATGAAAAAAATGTCCTCAGATAAGGATTAAAAGAAAAAAAAGAGTGTTTCTTTGGGTATCAAGTGCTGTGTGACCTGGCGTAGTTACTTCACTTCTCTGTGCCTGTTTCTCTATCTGTGAAATGGGAATAATAATAGCTCTACCTCTTGGAGTTGTGAAATAAATTAAACACGTAAAGGCAGACAAGTGCCTGCCCCAGAAAGGTCCCAGTACATTGTAATTTCTCTAGCTTCTAATTCCTCCTTGGTCCCTTTCCCTCCCCCCAGATCCCCTCACAAAAGCCAGGAATCGGAACACCAAGCCCTTTCCTGTCACCCACTCCTGGCAGTGGGTGGGCTGAGATTATTATCATCATCCTGATTTTAGGATGGGCTCTGAAAGGTGCCATGACCAGCCCAAGGCCAGAGCAGGTTAGCACCCCAGACCCCACCGTGCCGGCCCTGCCAGCCAGCATGTGCCTCCAGACCTGCCACATGACCCACAGCAGATGGAGATCTTGCTGCCGACCCATCACCCTGCTTGGTATGAGGTCCTAGACCAGTGCAATAACTTCAGACAAAGCCCAACAGCACCAGGGTGGGGCATTTTCTGCTGGGACCCTTGGGCTCAACAGTGCACTGTCTCTACCCCAAGTTCTGAGGCCAGAAGTGCTCCAGGGAAAGGTGCCAGGTGCCAGGTGGGAGGCAGAGGGTTGCGACGTCTCCTTCCGGTCGGGGAATATCTGGGACATGTCCTTTTGTCTCCCTTGGCCTTCCACCTTCCACTGGGTGGGGTTAGGGACCCGCCCTCAGCGCCAAAATCCAGAGTCCCTGAAGGCAGTGGTCTTGAGAAAATTACTCCACTGCTTAAGATCTGATTGATATTGGGCAAGTTATTTAACTTCTCTAAGCCACAGTTTGCTTACCTGCAAAATGGGCAGATAAGAGTTACCTGCCTTAGAGCTGCGAGAGTTCCACCTAAGGGAAACTGAAGTATACGTAAGGCCAGTCTACGAGTAAGTTCCCTGGGGGGGCTGCAGGGGTAACTGTGAAGGTTCAATCCCAGAGACACCCCCGGAGGTGACCACTGCCTCACAGATCCACAGAACCCTCCACTCCCACCTTATCAGACACCCCCTTGGGCATATTCAGACTCGGTCACTCAAACACACATCACACACATGCCACCCACTCATCCAGCAGAAAGACACCCAAAGAGACTCCCCCTCCTCTGCATACCCAGTCCATCCAGTCCAACTGCACCCATTCAGCTCTCTCCACACTGTCACGGGCACCACCATACCCTAGAATAGCCCCCTTTCAGGTGGACGATGCTGAAGGGCACCTGCTCTTCCTCCCTAAGTGGCCCCATGCGTTCCCTCCCCTCTGTCCTCTGGCCCCACCTGCAGCATCACTCCACCGTCCCATCCGGACAGCCCTGAAACACCAGACAGCAGTCCAGCAGTCCTGCCAACATAGCCTGGGGTGCACAGTTCACAGGTGGAGGGACACCAGGGAAGAGAGTCAGACTAATGGCCACACCCCATCCCTGGCCCTGGGACCATCCCTATTGCTCATCCACCCCCTCCTAGGGAGCCTGGGAAGTCTCCACCCCTTTCCCTCCCACCCCCCACCTCCCACTCCCCCACTATTGCCCCCACCCCCACCCCACCCAGGCCTGCCTGCTCAGGACCATTAACCACCCCCTCCCCCCTCTGCACTGCCCTGAGTGATGGTCCATCTATTATGCATGCTGCCTTCCTGCTCCATTCCATTTCCCGAGTGCCCCCCCCACACCCCCACACCCCTCTTCACCCCCCCCTAAGGGCTTTTAACCAAGTACATTAGGCAGGGCCAGATGCCAGACTGACAGATGTCCACAACGTTAGCCTCCGTTTCCCTCCTTCCTCCCTCTGCCCAGCCCAATTTACCTCCCACCACTCCAAGACCTCAGGTGCCCAAACTTCCAACCTCCTCTGAGTCTGTCCTCTACACCATCTATTTCTGCTAGGCCTTCATCTTGCCTGCCACCGCCCCCGTTGGCCTGGCTAACTTTCAGCTTCCAGCTCCCGGAGAGCCGAGGCGTGCTGAATGAATATTCCATCTGGGTGATTATTATTCACATGATATTAATTAATTATTAATTGCAATTAATCTCCTTCATTCCTAACCTTCCTCTGGGAGACAGGAGTGGCCTGGTAACTGAAAGGGATAGGGGGTGGTGGCATTTGTGGGTGTGCTTGGGGCCTGGAACCTTTTTCCAAGGCCCCACCCTCAGCAAGGACAGGAAGGAGAACAACAAGCCTATCAGTGCAAGGGGGAAACTGAGGCAGGAGCAAGCAATGAGCTGTTCCAAAAAAGCCCACTAAGAGTGGCTGTGCAAGAACCCAGGAGCCCTAGTCCCCGGCTGAGCTCTTAGTTGCTCTCCCTGCCCTTGTTGCCCACCCAAGCCCCGTTTGGAGCAGAACCACTTGCTTTGGCACCAGAGCAGTGGCAGCTGGCAGAAGGATGACCGAGACTGGACTGAGCCCTGGGCATTTCAGTCCACTGAGGGCAGGGGGTTCCCACCATGATAGAGGGGTCCTGGTGCAAGGCGGGCGGGTGCTCCCACTAGTGGGCTCCATGGTACCCACTGTACTAAAGGGAAGCATCAGGAGCCAGCTGCCTGGGAGGCACCCAAACCCTGGTGGCCCCTGCCCCTCCCCCCCAAGGCCTGCTCCAGCCAGCCCCCTGGCCTCCCCCCACTCAGCCCCACTCACTGGGCCGCCGGGTGGCTCCTGGCGGACCCTGGTGTCCAACTGCTGCTTTCGGACTTCTCCCCCGGAGCTCTCCCCCACCAGACGGCTGGGCTGTGTGACCTCAGGGGCTTCCAGGCCCCACAATTGGGGTGAGACCCTCCAACGCAGAGCTCCAGCAGGACCCCAGGACCCAAGACCTGAGGAGACAAGGCCATAGCTGTAGGCAGATGCTCACCGCGGGGCAAGAGACTTGGGCACCCACACCCTCCACTCTGGGGTGGCCCTTGGAGCCCTGGGGTGTGGGGGAGAAGATATGCTCCCTGCACGGGGAAGGGTCCGATGGGATGTGGGGGGGCAGGAGCTTCACTCCTGCCCAACACTCACGACTGCCCCCCCAAACCCGCAGAGACCTGCAGAGTCCGCTGGCCAAAGGCAGGAGGATGGCCGCGGTGGGGCGGGCCAGATGGGGACAGGTGGGTGTCCGAACCTTCCCTCGTCCCCCGCCCCCACCCTCCCGCGCTCTGGACCGGCTGTCACACCGAGCACTGCAGGAAAATGTGGCTGCAGCAGAAACCGCCGCAAAACCCGGGGCGGGGGCAGGGAGGGGGCGCGGGCCGGGCGGGCGAGCGAGGGTCACTCACCGGGCGGCGGCAGCAGCGGCAGCAGCAGCAGCGCCGCGATCACCCAGCGCCGCAGCCGCCTCATGGCTCGTTCATAGTCCTCCTGGTCGGGGGCTGCGGCGGAGCGGCTCGGCGCGGGCGGGGGCGGGACGCGCGGGGGCGCGGGCTGCGGAGCCGCGGGCGGGGGCCGGCCGGCCGGGGGCGAGGCTGCAGCGGCGGGGAGGGCGCCGGCTCAGCGCGCTCCGGCCGCGGCCATCCCGGCGGGGCGGCGGGCCGGGTTAAGAGCGGAGCGGCGAGCACGTGAGCGGAGGGCCCGCCCCCGCCCCCCGGGCCCCCCCAGCCGGGCAGGGCCCGGGCCGCCGCGACAGGAGGACAAAAGAGGCGCCGCCCCGGGGCGGCTTTCCCGCACCACCTCTGCCTTCCTTGACAGGTGCAGGGCAGGGCGCCCCCGGGCCCCTCCTCGCGATCCCCTCCTCGGCCACCCCTTGCTAACGGAGCTCCGAGGACCGGCAGATTTTTAGGGGGAGGGAGACAGGGTACACGGGGACCCTCGGGTTCTGACCTGGGGACTGCCGTTCTAGGGACCGAGCGATCGAGATGCGGGGGCGTGGCCGCCAGGGCCCAGGTTCGCCTCTCAGGCGCTGAACCCAGGAGGGGCCTTCCCCAGACCCAGCCCGGAAAGCCCCCGAAAGCTCCGGTCGACTGAAGGCTTTTGGAGCTGGAAAGATTTGGGGCCAGGGACTGGACGGAAGGACAGAAACTCATTTGGCAAACGTCTGGCCGGACGCCTGTGGGACCTCGGACTACCTCGCAGAGCAGGTCACTGTGGAGTCTCATCGACCCTCGGCTCAGACCCCTTTCCATCCTACAGGCTCCGTTTCCCCGGCAAAGATGCCCCTGCCTCCAGGAGGGCTTCAGGATTTGCTGTCATGAGCCACCAGGACAGGTTGGCCTCCCCTCCCTGGGCTCCTGAGTCCTTCACACAGGGCATTGCCATCCTCCCCCTAAATATCATATTTCTTAGCCTGGTCATTCACATGCTGTTAGCATGCCCCATTTCTGCCCCTTCCTTGTCAGCCCAAATCTTTGAGGAGCAGGAGCTACCTGTGGAGCCCCCCAGCCTCCCCTCTCTAGCCAGACCAGGTTGCCCTGCCTGCAAACCACCCGACCTCCCAACCTACCACTGGAACTGTCCGGCACCCCCAGCCCAGCTACTGGGTCCCCAGGCTGGGGGCTGGGATCCCTGACCCCAGGGGCCAGAGACCTGAGATGGGGTGAGGGTGGTAGGACGTGGATACCACTGGTGAGGCCCCCACACTGACTTTGTGCCCAAAGCCAGAGACTCCTTGAACCCACCCTAGGAGACCATGGGTCACTGGGGAACAGGAGTGGGTCCTCTGCCTTTCTGGGGACCCAGGGCCTCCACAAGGAATGGGGCAACTGCCTTTGGCTCATGACAACCCCCCCACCCCAGCTCTATTTTAGGCTCAGGAGAGGTGAGAAGGCGATTTCCTGGGAGGCACTGACATCAGTGCTGGGAATGGTGACCCTCCCCTTCCAGCCGCCTGCCACTCCAGACCCAGCTGCTCAGGAAGGCTGGAGTGTTCCTTCACTCTGGAGACATCTTGGAAACCTCTTAGGGGTGAGGGGGCTCTAGGGGATGAGGACCTACTATGTGACATTCCCTGGAGACCCACAATTACCCAGGAAGGAGGGATTATATTCCTCATTTTACAGATGGGGAAACCGAGGCTCTGAGAGGCTGCTCAAACTCCCCAAAGTCACATAGCTAGCTGGTCAGTGAGAGGTGCATTCCATACGCCAGGGTCTCACTCCTCTCTGGCCACCCCTATTCCCACCTCTGCCTTTTACTTTGGACCTAGAGGGGACTGGTCCATCTGGTCCATCCATCCCACTCCTCCCTCCCCACACACACCACCAGAGTGAGTCTGTCCTGCCCCACCTGTGCCATGTGCCAGGGCCAAGTCAGTGAGCCCTGATCCGATGTGCCTCCCAAAAGGACAGGTGGGGACCTGGGCCTGGGGAGTCTGGATTCCCTCCTCCAACACACCCACGACAGCAGGGAAAGCCCAGTCTGTACCCTGGGCCTCTAAAACTGAGACAGAGACACATTCCTATCACTTGCCACTGGTTCCTTGGGCTTCTTGGTGGGGAGACCTTCCTGTATCCCCAGTGACCTCTCTGGTAGCACTCTGGGCCAGCTCCATTCTCCAATGGAGGCTCAATCTTATGGCCCTGGGCCCCCAACAGTTCCTACCTTCCTGAGTTCTCCAGCTCTAAGCAGGTCCAGCTGGGCATCCTGGTCCTCCTCTGACCACACCCCACTCCCCCAGCCTGAGGCCCCCCATCTTGTCTTCCATGTCAGTTCTGCTACAAGCTGAAAACTGTAAGCCTGTTTCAGTTCCTTCACCCACCTTTCCTCCTGAGGTCAGGAGCTGTGAGACAGTCTCTCAGGGGGTCCCTGGGGGAACCCCACCCCAGTGGTGGGCTCGTTTGGTTCCTCTGCCTCTCTGTTTATTTCCCCCAAGAGGAGGCCTGGGAACCCTGGAAATTAGAGGTTGGTGGTCATTGTTTTGGTCTTGATGCCACCCTTGGGTTCACTCCTGCTGAGGAAACTGTTAGGCTCTGGTCCCCAGTCCTCCCTCAGGAGCCCCCATCACCAGGAGGTCTGGGCCTCTTTTCCCTGCAGTTCCTTCTGCCCTTCAGTCAATTCTTCCCTCCAATCGTCCTGCGCAGGGGCCACGCCGGGTTGATGTGGAGCCCTGTCTGCGGGGCCTGCAGCAGGGGCCACGCCAGGCAAGGAGGCAGGGAGGGGTGGAAGATAAGATCAGGACTCCGGTCTCCAAGCAACCAGCTGGGGTCCCAATTCTGGTTAATGGCTGTGTGACCTTGAATAAGTCCCCCAACCTCTCTGAGTCTGTTTCCTCATCTGTGAAAAGAGGGTTAGAAAAGCACTCCCTGCCCAGCCAGTGTGGCTCAGTGGTTGAGTGTAGACCCAAGCACCAAGAGGTCGTCAGTTCCATTCCCGGTCAGGGCACATGCCCAGGTGTGGGCCTGATCCTCAGTGGGGGGCATGCAGGAGGTGGCCAATCAATGTTCTCTCTCATAGATGTTTTTATCTCTCTCTCCTTCTCCCTTCCTCTCTCTCTAAAATCAATAAAGAAAAAAATTAAAAAAAAAAAAGTCCTCCCTCCCAGTGCTGCCAGGGGATAAATGAACTGAGCCTCATCTATCCCCCAGCACCTGGTGCATAGAAGGGGTTCGCATTGTCATGTTGACTTTATGGTGCCAAGAAAGTCCAGGACCCAAGGGACACCTTTATGGCTTAGGGACCTGGAGGCCCTCTCTCCCCAGAGCATGGAGAGACTGTGCCTGGTGACGTGCTGTTGATGGGTAGGGGGCAGTGGCAGTGTCCGCAGCACTGGGACAGGACGTTCATTCTGTTTCCCCCCAGATCCCAGGCCAGTGTGTCTTTCCCACCAGCAGAGGACTGCTCTTGTCATCCAAATATTCCTCCAAGCCTCATGCTCCTCCATTTTCTGAATGGCCCCCTTCTTTAGGCTCTGCAGCTCTGAGACCTTGCCTCGGGGAGTTGAGGCATTCAGGGTGCCAGAATCCTGGGGGACATTCAGTCTTTGCCCCCGAGGGCCCGACATGCCATGGGGGGTGGTGCAGCACCCATCCACTGCCTCCTCTCCCACATCAGGGATCCTCCTAGAGTTCTGGGAAACCAGCCATCACAAAATGGGGTGCCCAGGGATGAGGTGACTCACAGAGCCCCTTAACAGCTTCATCCACAAACTTACCCTGGAGATGAGGATGGGGTTCAGAGCACCGTCCCAAGGCGGGAGATTAGTGAAGACGAGCTTTACTGACAGCTTGGGGAGGGAGGCCTCACGGGCGTGTGTGCGCAGGGCGGGTGCTGGTGGTGCTAGTGGTGCTAATGAGTTTACTGAGGGTTTACAACGTGCCAAGCACTGTGCCCAGTACCCCACAAACATGTCTGATTTAATTCTTGTGACTTCCTAGTAAGGTGGCAATAATTACCGTCACTTCCTAGATTAAGAAAACTGAGTTTCACCCTGGCCGCTTTGGCTCAGCGGTTAGAGCACCGGCCTGTGGTCCAGAGAGACCCGGGTTCGGTTCCCGCTAAGGGCATGTACCTCGGTTGCAGTTTGTCCCCGGCCCTGGTTGGTCATGCGGTGGCAGCCACTCGATGTGTCCCTTTCACGTTGATGTTTCTCTCTATCTCCCCTCCCACTCTATCTGAACAAAAAATGGAAAAATGTCCTCGGGTGAGGATAAAAAAGAAAAGAAAACTGAATTTCAGGAGTTTACCAAAGGTCACAAAGTGACAGGATCTGGATTTGAACTCAAGTCTCTGTGGCCTGGAGGCTTATACTACAGGGTTCATGGAGAATATGGAATATAAACTTGAAGAGTGGGGCATTCTTGTTCTTGTCGAGGGTCAGGAACCAAGAGCAAAAGACTCCGGGTAGTCAGAGACATGCGGGTCAGCCTGGCTGGCTGGGGGCTGAGGCGCAGGGCAGAGGATACTAGGAAGCTGGGTGGGTGTACGGGGAGGAGTCAGCAGGGAGAGTAAGGACGCTGACCTGGGCTGGTTGGGGAGGCTGAGGGGGCAGGAGTCAGACAATGCCAGGGAAGGCATGACTGGAAAGGGGGAGCCAGTCTTGGACCAGGAACGAGTTCCTCCGTAGGTCTGTGGTAGCAGTGGGATGGGGGGAGGGGGGATGAGTGAAGGATTTGTTGGAGGTCATAGTATTTTATTAGTGGGAGGAAGGACCCTTGAAATCATCTCATCTAAGCCCCTTACATAGATAAGCAAACTGAGGCTCAGAGTAGTAAAGGGACTTGGCCAAAGTCACACGGAGTTGAGGTGGTGGCTAGATCTCCTGCCTTCCCGCCTAGCACAGGTGAAGATCCGAATTCAGAAGGCGGTCAGGGGTGAAGCTACCAATTCAGGTCACAACTTCAAGAAGTGAGAGCCAGTGTCTACAGGTAAGAACAGGGGTCCTAGACCCTCATCTGGGGACGCAGTGAGGGCTGGAGGGCTCCTTGGAGCTGAGTGAGTCAGGGCGGACATCTCCGGCCTTTGCTGAATGAGTGCACTCGGTACAGAGAGCGGGGAGGCCGGAGAGAAAGGGGGACCAGGCTAATTGGGGAACGCTGGGAGTTGGGGAGCCAGGTTTCAAGAAGAGGGAGAGGAGAAAAGGACCCGGACTCCGGTGGTTAGCGGTTATCCAGTGACCTTGGAGTGGACCATCTCCGCAGAGTGCTTCCCTGGCGGAGGTCTGGAGGTGCAGATGAGGAGGCAGTGGCTACAGATGGAGGAGGGAGCCGGAGGACAGGAGGGAGCATTCCTTGAGCTACTGGATCAATGTGAGTGTTTTCCAGGCTGGAGTTTTGAGGCAGAGGGAAGGAGGTGGCGAATCTGAGGAGGAAATGTCCGTGGTGGCTGGAGAGCACAGGCCGGCCTGATGGGGAGGGACACTGCTTCCTTTGTCACGGTGGAGGGTCTGAGTAGATGAGGCAGCGCTGCTGGTCTGAGTTGAGATCACTGGCTGAGAGGGAGGGAGCAGGTTGTAAGTCCCCATGTCAAAGAGCCACTGAGGGACCCAGTATGTCAAGAGCACCCATCTGTCCTGGGCCCCTCTAAATTTATATCCTGGAGGCCAGAACAGAGACATAGCTGTGGTGGGATGTAGCCCTGGAGCTTGACCGGGCTGAGATGTGATATTCAAGGTCACAATCGTTGAGATGGGAGGGGAAGGCCACAGTTGGATGTGAGGTCCTGGACAGATGGTGACAAGAGTGTCAGAACCTGGTGTGTGGGAGTCAGCATGTGAGGTCATCAGAGACAAGGTTTGAGAAAGAGGTGGGGAGACTTGCCTCACAGAGCAGCAGTCATGGGAGAGGCACTGGGGAACAAGGACACCCCAAGTGTCACACCAGGGACCAGAAGGGAGCCACTGCCTGGGTGCCGGGGAAGGGGGGAAGGGGGGAAGGCCCTTAGCAGGGTCCTAGACAGAGCAAAGGCATTTCCTTGGGAGTGGGTGGTGAGCACGCCCTCTAGAGGGGACCACTCAGACAGCAGCGGAGCCGAGTGACCGGAGCCTGGACAGGCACAGCCCCACCTGCCCTCGGCCCTCAGGGGCGAGGCCTCGGGAGTGGTGGCACTCACACAGGCTCCTGTCAGGACATTTATCCTGACCCTGTCAACTGGGCCCAGAGCCCCGCCTCCGGTTTCTGGGGGGCAGAGGAAGGAACGACACTGTTCTCCAACCCCATCTCTTTGTTATTTGTCATTAACAAATTTATTTACAGTTCCTGAACCAAGATTGTGAAATTTAACAGGAATGGCATAAAAAGGCCAAACATGACCTCTGTGAGGGTTATACACACAATTGCTCTATTTCCAAGCTAACAACTCAGGTCCTCACCCGCAGCTAGGCCCCCCTTTCTTCCTCCAAAATGAGAACAGAATAGCACCAGGCTTCTGGTAGCTTCAACATTTAAAAAGACACACACACACAGAGGCAGAGAAGGGTGAGAAGAACCACAGTACAAAATGTAAAAAAAAAAAAGTGGCCAAAGAATCAATAGCAAACCCATCTCTGTCTCCAGATTAATGGCTTGCCTGAGAGAAATGGGGGGAGGTCCTTGGGGAGGGAGGAGAGGGTGATGGAGAAGTTGGCAGGTGAGCCGCTGACCCTGGAACAGAACCCTGGGTGGGCAGCCCAGACTGAGGCAGGGAAGAACATAGAGGGGTCTGTCCCCAGAGGGGTCTGTCCCCCTCTGAGCGCGGGGGGGGGGGGGAGCTGTGGAGTGCAGCATCCGAGCCCCCCCTCTGCCTCACATGTTCCTGAGGATCTGTGTGCTCGGCGTGGGGGGCTGGGGGAGGGGACACAAACACAGGCATTTCGGAAAGCAGGAGCGAGCCACATGCTTGTGGGAAAGGAGGTGGGGGTGGGGAACACTAACTAACCCTGGACTCTGCAAAGGCAAGTGCCTGCAGAGGGACAGGAAGCCAGGCCAGGGTTCCTGCTGCTCCAGCTTCTTTGTGATGCCTTCCTATGCCAACCTTGCCTCTGCCTCCTGGCAAGAGGGCAGCTGGCTATGGCTGGACAAGTCCACCACAGATCACTGCCCAGTCAGGGACATGGTTGGAGGTATGAGTAGGAGAGGCAGCATCCAAGCCGACTCTCTTGGTCCTACCTGAAGACTGGGTGGGCAGGAAGACTGGATCTGTCCACCCAGAGCTTGGCCATGACAACAGCTGTTCACTTGGACTTCAAAGGCCAGGCCCCAGACTCCTTCTGGCTCTGCTGGAGGCCCTGGGGCACTGCTCCTGTGTGTCTGGTCTGCCCTGGCTGGGCCTGCAGCACTCAGCAGAGGTGTAACTTGTATGCGTGTACCCGGCTGTCGAGTCAGGAGCTGTCTGGCCCTATGAAGAGCTGTGTGCCCCAGGGGACTCACAGGAACAGTATGCTGCTGGTGCTGGGACACAGGGAGGCAGGGGGCTGGCAGAGCTGGAGGAGAGAGGTAGCGGGGCTCTCTGCGGGTCCTCCTGGGGGTTATGTGCCTTCAGCTGTGTGCTGGTGGGCTGACAGCTGGCCTGGAGCTGCAGAGCAGCTGGGAAGCTGGTCAGTCTGCTGAGAGCCAGGGTCAGGGGCTGTACACTCGGAATCCTCAGATCCTGGGGAATATCCTCCCCCAGGCCAGGGGGGCTGTGTGGCCCAGATCTCTGCTGGCCTGTCTGTGAGCTGGCAGGGGAAGGGGTCTGGGAGGGAGAGGCTGGTCTGTGGGCAGCACAAGGGCAAGAGAGAGGTCAGAGGCCGGGACTCATGCCCTGGAAGGGAAAGGGAGAAGAGATGTCTGCCATCAGCTGTCCTGGTGCCACCGGGGCTAAGGGCTCTTGGGACAAAGAATGAGGCCTGTGGCCAGGAGACCCCTGGCCTCTTCTCAGCATTACCACTGGGGAACTGAACCCTCCGCTTGTGGCCAACAAGTGCTGGGTCTGGGCCAGAGGAGAGGTCCGCAAAACCAGAGCTGGCCAAGAGGCACCAGCAAGTGGGGCTTCTGGACACCAGTGTGCTTGGGGGGTCCACAATGACATCAACTGACCCCCCTAGGTCTTGGCAGCTGGCTACTGGTCCAGGTGTCTCACCAGCCCCCACACATTCAGCTGGTGACTTCCTGCCGCCCATTATCCCATCTTGCTCTGGGATGCCTGGGGCCTGGTAGCCGTCTTCCTTCCTCATCCTGGGAGATGCTGCCCCTCCACAGGAGGGCTGGCTGGGAGGCAGAGTCTCCGGACACAGCGAGTCATGATCCGAAGCCGGGGAGCCTGGCTGCCTGTGGGGACAGAAATACCCTGTGGGTCACAGGCTCAATTCCAAAGCAGGCTGTAAGCTGGGACCCTCCCAGGCCGGGCTGAGGGCAAAGTGGGGGTGGGGCACACATGGTGCTACCCTTTGGGGTTATAGGGTGCTGAAGAGACCTGCCCACTCTGGGGCCTGTGAAGTGCTCGCTCTCTGGTCTGACCCCGCAGCAGTGGCCATGCTGTTTGCACCGCTCCGGGCTTTGCGGCCTGCGGTCAGGGATGGCCAGAGGAACATGTTAGAGGCTGTTCCATTTAATAACTTCACAGAGGCGGCTGTGCCCTTTGGCAGCCAGAGGAAGCAGCACAGAGCCTGGCTGAGCCCAGGAAGTGAGGTCTAAGGTGGAGACTTGGGCTGAGAGGTGAAGCCACAGCTCCTTGGTGGAAGCTCAGAGAGCCCTGGAATCCCACTGCAGGCCCTGCAATCCGTCCTGGGGGCACTTCTACGGGCGGAAAGACCTTGCTCTTCACCCACCTGGAAGGGACCTTGGAATCCCCCTCCACACTTCTAGGCCAGCCAAGCACATGACCAGACACGACAGAAGTGCCACTGCTGAGTGCTCTCCCAGAACCCCCTCACCGCCCCCTCTGGTCTGGGTCCCATCAGCCAAAGCCACAAATAGAGGTCTTTCTCACCCCATTTCTAAAACAAACAAAATAGAAAGGTGAAGAAAGAGAAGACTACCACAGCCTGGTTCATGCTGTCACCAGCCTAAGGGTTCCTTCCCACCTAGAGGCAGCAGCACAAGGATGGCGCTATGCCCCCACCCTCGGCAGGGCCGCACCACGGCGCTCACCCGGGCAGGCTGGCCTGGAAGGGAATGTCCGCAAAGCTGTGGCTGAGCTGGGCGATGATCCGATCGACTTCTGCATATGGGTGGGCTTCTAGGGCAAAGCCCTGGTGCTGGGCACTCTGCAGGTGCTGCCAGGGGGTGAGAGGAGGCACACAGCATTACACAGAGGAGGATGCCAGCAGACCCCCAGCCACTCCAGGGAGACTGGGCAGGAAAGGCTCCCTCAGCACAGTCTGGGGAGCAACTGCTTAGTGGGAAGGGGCTCACCCCATGCAGCTCCTCAAAGGCCTCCTGGCAACACTCACAGTACCCTTTCTTTCTTCTGGGCACGGTGCAGGCAGCGGATCGTGGGCTTGGCTTTCGGTCCTTGAGTTGTCTGGGGAGGGTACAGAGTGGGGGGAAGTGGTCACTGCTGGGGCCCTTAGAGTGGAACTGCTGTTCCAGGGCCTGGAGCCCAAACCAGAGAAAAAATGGACCGAAATGGCCATGGAGCTGGGCAGGCACAGGCAGGCCTGTCTGCACTGGGCACCACTTGTACAAGGGTGGCAGGAGATGCAACAAGGAAGATGAGACCTCCCCAAGAGCACCCTATGCTAGCTCTGTCCTTTCCACCACACACCTCAAACCACAGGTGAGAATGGGTGGTGGTGGGTGGGAGCGAGAATCCTTTGAAGGACAATTCTAGCTCTGTGCTCACACCTAAACCTGCCTTCATTTGACCTGCAAAATCAAAGGGAAAAGGCCTCAGCAGCAGCAAGGGGACTGTACTGCCTTCGACCACTTCCACTTTAAGTGTCCCCTTCCCCTGGTTTGGTCCACCCCCTCCCTCAACTTGTCCCTTACACAGCTGCTATCTTTGTTTTTTTAATTTTTTTATCTTTATTGTTGAATGTATTATAGATGTTCCTCATTTTTCCCCCGTTGACCCCCTCCTCCCCACTCCCACCCCCCCTCCCACTTTTTCCCACACTGTTGTCTGTGTCCATTGGTATGCATATAAGTTCTTTGGTTTATTTCTTCCCACCCCCTGACCCCCTTCCCTTTGAGGTTTGTCAGTCTAACAACCAATTTGTACTTCTTAATCCCTTCACCTTTTTCATCCATTCCCCCAACCCCCCTCCCATCTGGCAACCAACAAAATGTTCTCTGTATCTATGAGAATGTTTCTGTTCGGCCTGTTCATTTTGTTTGTAGATTCAGTTGTCGATAGATATGTATTCATTGCCATTTTGTTTGTTCATATATTTTATCTTTTTCTTCAAAAAGACCCTTCATCATTTCATATAATAACGGTTTTGTGGTGATGAACTCCTTTAACTTTTTCTTGTCTAGGAAACTCTTTCTATGGCCATCAGTTCTAAATGACAGCTTTGCAGGACAGAGTAATCTTGGTTGTAGGTTCTTGCTTTTCATCACTCTGAATATTTCTTGCCACTCCCTTCTGGCCTGCAAAGTTTCTTTTGAGAAATAAGCTGACAGCCTTTTGGGAACTCCCTTGTAGGTAACTGCTTTTCTCTTGCTGCTTTTAGGATTCTCTCTTTGTCTTGAACCTTTTGTATTTTGATGATGATGTGTCTTGGTGTGGGCCTCTTGGGGTTCATAATGTTTGGGACTCTCTGTGCTTCCTGGACGTGTATATCTGCTTCCCTCACCAAGTTAGGGAAGTTTTCTGCCATTATTGTTTCAAATAGATTTTCAATTTCTTGTTCTCTCTCTTCTCCTTCTGGCACCCCCAAGATGCGAATGTTGGCAGCTTGAAGTTGTCCCAGAGGCTCCTTACACTATCATTTTTTGGATTCTTTTTTCTTTTTGCCGTTCTGATTGGGTGTTTTTTGCTTCCTTATATTCCAAATCAATGGTTTGCTTCTTGGCTTTACCTACTCTACCATTCAATCTGTGTAAATTATTCTTTTTCAGTTAATGCCTCCTTCATTTCTGACTGTGCATCCTTCATTTCTTACTGGTCCTTTTTTATCCTCTTGAGGCCCTCACTAAGTTCGCTGAGGTTCTCACTAAGTTCATTGAGCATCCTTATAAGCAGTATTTTGAACTCAGCATCTGTTAGGTTGTTTATCTTCATTTCGCTTCTTTTCCTGGGGTTTTGTTCTGTTTTTTCATTTGGGACCTGTTTCTTTATCTCCTCATTTTGGCTGCCTCCGTGTTTGTCTCTGTGTGTTACTTAATGAGGTATGGGGCTATCTGAGACCAGATGCTGCTTGTTTGAAAGAATTTAGGAAAACCTGAAGCAGGATCCAAGACAGGCCAATCATGTGGTTAAGCAAGTGGCAACAGCTTGGGTGGGCCTGAAAGCTGGGTGGGGCGGGGCCTCAGGGAATCCCCAGGGCAGGGCAACCAGTGTGAGCCAGGTTGCTGGAGTCCCAGATATGACAACTGTCTGCCGCCCCAGGGAAGGGCTCACCAAAGGAACAAAGGCCTCTTACAGCACGTTTGTCCCCGAGAAAGCCCCCTCTCCAGCCCTCGCTCCAGTGCCAAACAGCTCAGTTCTTCCCTGTATGTCTCTGGCGCCCCTGGAGCTGCCTCCCCTCCAAGCTTAGAGGGAGAGAGTCCGATGAGTCCGTGCGCGGGCCCTTTAAGGAGCTGCCTGGGGCTCCAGCCGCCTCAGCCTCCCTGAGCCTCAGTTCCCGCTGGTTTTTCCAGCCAGAAGTTATGGGGACTCTCTTCCTGGCACTGGAACCCTGAGCGGGGCACCCGGTGTGGGACGGGGACCCCTCAGTCCTCAGGAAGGACCTTCCCAGCCGAGGTTTCCTCCTCCGCCCCTCCTACCAGTCTCGATGTGGTTGCTGCTTTAATTCCGTAGTTGTAGGACTTCCATTCAGCTGGATGTCAGGCGGTTTTGAATGATGGTTGTTCTGTAGTTTAGTTGTAACTTGGATGTGGTTGTGGGAGGACGTGATACCGCGTTTACCTACCCGCCATCTTGACCGGAAGTCCGCAGCTGCCATCTTAACTGAGGACTTTCAAATCTCTTTCTCAAACCTGACTTTTAATTTGGATTTCAGTCCCATATTTCTAATGGCCTGTAGGGCATTGCTTTTGAGCTGTCTGAGCAAACTCAACAAATCCAAAATATTCCCCTTTAAGGACTTTCTAAGTATGACACAAAACCCAGGTCACCTAGAAAAAAACTGATAAATTCAACTACATGCAATTTTTTTTTTTAATTCTCACCCGAGGATATTTTTTTCCATTGATTTTTAGAGAGAATAGAAGAGAAGGAGGGAGGAGGGGAGAAAGGGAGGGGGAGAGATAGAAAGAGATATGTCAATGTGAGAGACACATCAATTGGTTGCTTTCTGCACATGTCCCAACCAGGGCTGGGATCGAACCTGCAACCCTTTGGTCCCCAGGCCAATGCTCCAGCCACTGAGCCAAACCAGCCAGGGCCACCTATGTGCAAATTTAAAAAATGTATGCACAGCAGAAAACAAGCAAAGTTAAAAGACAAACCACAAACTTATAACTAACAATACAGCAAAGGGCTCATTTCCCTACCACATGAAGGGTTCCTTACAAATCCATAAGAAAGTGATCAATAACTAAATAGAGAGATGGGCAAGTGATATGCAGAAGGCACACACAAAGAAATTCAAATGATCAAACAAAACAGACTGAACCTCATTCATAATGAGAAAAAATGAAAATTCTAATTACACTGAGAAATGGTTTTTAATCTATTAGATTGGCATGAGTCAACAAGTCGGACCGCTCGGTGTTAGCCAAGGGGATGGGGAGACAGGCTCTCTCCAGGGTAGGTCAGAGCGTTTACTGGCATCACCTCCATGAAAAGCAATTTGACCGCATTTATGAGAATTATAAATGCAGGCTCCCTCTGACCCAGCATTTCCACTTTTAGGAATTTATTCTGCAAATATACTTGAACGATCAAATTTTCTCTGAACAAGACTATTCACTGCAGCCTTATTTAAATAGCAAAAGACTGAAAATAATCTCAGCATGCATCAATAAGAAGCTGCTGAAGTACAGTAAACCCATGCAAGAGAATACCCTGAAGCCATAAAAGGGAACACGGATGCTTTTTAGGTACTAATAGGAAATTAATCTAAGATATAGTAAGTGACACCCTGACCAGTTTGGCTCAGCGGTTAGAGAGTCGACCTTTGGACCAAAGGGTCAAGGGTTTGATTCCCAGTCATTCCTGGGCTGCAGGTTTGATCCCTGGGTCATGTGGGAGGCAAACAATGGATGTTTCTCTCTGCCCCCCACCCCTTCCACTCTGTCTCAAAATCAATGAAAAAATATCCTCAGGTGGGGATTAAAAAAATAAAATAAGATATAGTAAGTAGCAAAAGCAGAAGACAGCACAGTGAATATTATGCTACTTACTCTTTGTACAAGAAGAGGGAACAAAGGACACAATGTACTTCTGTGTGCATAAACCACCTCTGGAGAGAGACCCATGATCTGGAGATCAGAGGGTTGTCGTGGGAGGCTTTTCACTCTAAACCCTTTGTAATGCTCGGATTTTGAACCAAAATAATCTTTTATTTTTAATCCTCACCTGAGTATATGTTTAGAGAGAGGAACGGAGAGAGAGAGAGAGAAACATCAATGTGAGAGAGAGAAACATCGACTGGTTGACTCCCATATATGCCCTGACTCAGGATCAAACCTGCTACCTTTTGGTGTACAGGATGACGCTCTAACCAACTGAGCCACCCCGCCAGGGCCAAAATAATCATTTTTAAATTTAAAAAAAATTAAACATTTCTTCCAACAGATTTTACACACACACACACACACGTACGTTATACCCTCCTTGTGCAGAAACCAAAGTTTCATTGCTGCACCATCCTCGGCTCCTCTGCGATTCCCAGGCCATCCCAGGCCTGGCACCACCTAAGAGCCCCAAGCCCACAGTCCCCTGGCATCCCTTGTGCCTTTTAGGAAAGGTGTGAAGGGCACCTGGCCTTCACTTCAGCTCATTCTCTCCTTTTTCCCCTCTCCCTACTACCACGTTCCCTTCTATTTTCCCTCCCCTTTGCACTACTTCCTGACCCCGCCACCTCTGTCTGCTGGAGGAACCTGCAGGCCTTCCTCGGCCCTGGGACCTCTTGACCTGATTCTGCTCTGTCCTGTTCTGCTGGTCTACAAACTAACTCTGTGGCCTAGAAGTTAGAAAGGGTCTGAGAAGGCATCTAGTCCATCGACCAAGCCTCGTTCCTTCTACACTTTGTTCTGTGAAGGTTCACATTTCACACATCTGCAGAGCAGGAATACCAATAAGCCTACAGCCACTTTCGGCCACACAATGCAGGAGCCCCAGGTCCCCTGCCCTTAGTTACTCTCTACATTTAGCCCACAGGCCTCAAATTCTGATGTGCATCAAATCACCCAGGGAGCCTGGGAGGGTGCAGCTTTTGGAGCTCCATCATCAGAGACTGTGATTCTGTAGGTATAAGTGGGCTCTAGGAACCTGTATTTTTTTTTAAATACTCACCCGAGAATATTTTTCTATTTATCATCAGATAGAGTGGGAGGAGAAGAGAGAGAGAAAAACATCAATGCTAGAGGGACACACTGATTGGTTGCCTCCTGCACAACCTGACCAGGGCCAGCTGGGATGAATCGCAACCGAGGTACATGCCCTTGACCGGAATCGAACCTGTGTCTCATCAGTCTTGGGCCAACCCTCTAACCGCTGATCCAAACCGGCCAGGGTGGAACCTGCATTTTTAAGGGGACCCCAGAGGACTCTGGTGAAGGTGGTCTATAGATTTAGGTTTCAGAAATTGGCCGGTTGTCCTCTGGACACAAGTCAAGTTTTTCAGCAGGGATGGAGAACACCAAATAAAATGGATGAACACTTCTTTTGTGTCTCTTCTTTGGGCTAAATTCCCGGAATAGACTTCGCCTGAGGAGCTAACACATGGCCATTCCCAAATGTGAGCAGCAGGCCCCCAAGGGGAAGAACTTGGGCCTGTAACCAGCCCTTGTTATTCAGGAACCAGAAAGACCCACCTGGTGCGGTGCAAGCTGCCTGGGGTCGTCGGGGCCTCAAAGGGACTTGCGTCTTTGGGTCCCAGAAAAGAAATTTCAGGAAAGGATTTAAACTGATGGTGGCAAGGACGAAACTTCCTGAAACACAGAAAACTTCCATTTTGACTATAGTGGGGCAGGGAAAGGAGGAGGCAGGGCACCAGCCCAACTCTAGAGTCCCAATCCTGATAAAGTAGGCTCTCACCCGCATATCTTTTAGGTTCTAAAACAAAACCCTCATCAGCCTTACTCGGTTAAACGAACACTATACTCTACTTCCCAAGCCCGTTTGCTCTCACTGCTTCATCTGAATCCTGCAGCCACCCCCACAGCTGAGTGGAACAAGTGGAGTAAATGAAGCCCAAAAGGTTCTGGAACTCTCCCAAAGGCTCACAGCTAGTATGTGGCCAAGATCAGACCAGAAGCCACATCTCCCGACTCCTGATCTAGTTCTTCCCACCCTTCCACTTTGTTTCTTGACCCTAAAACAACCTTTGAGGACTCTAGCTTCACAGAATCTAAATGGAAGGATGTTTGAACCACAGCAGTGATTTTCCTGCTCCATTAAGAGCAACACTTTTGCTCTGGGCTGGTCCTCTGCACCTCTTGCAGGGTACCCTGGAGTTCTGAACAGAATGGAGGCACAGTGAAGGTTCTGGACGGTCAGAACCACTGGGTAGTTTTGGAGGTCTGCCTCAAGTTGCTCACATTCAAGTTCGGAGCCCGATCTGATCCTGTGCGGACACTCAGCAGACCCCGTCTATGTATCTGTGGGCACCCGAGTTGGGTGCCATGACCTGTGCTCCACGGAGTGCAGGCCATGGATTCCTGGGTGGCACGGTGAGAGCCCTGCCAGGAGTGAATGAACAGCTTTTGTGGACCCTTAAAGAGAAAAGGGCGCCCTTCACAGGCCTGGTGCCCCATTTGTCTCTTCAATGCTGCTGTGTTTCTGCTTAGGAGGCCGGAATGTTGAGGATGGTAAGGCTACCAGGCTTTGAAGAGCACCAGCTTCAGAACAGCACATAAAAAGAATCATAAGAAACCTTAGCTCTGCTTGGATCTCCTCTGTTGCCTATGATGCTAGGGGCATACAAGTACGTGTACCCTCCTCCAGTGACAGTAGCATCACCTGTGCCTGCCATGTGCAGGGAGAGATTCTGGGGCATTGGTGGTCTCTCTCATGACTACTTGTATTTAACTCTCACGAAGGGGCTGGGATTGACAGACATGTACCTCATCCACCAGAACTGGAAAAGATAGTACCTCACTGCCATCCCTGTGTTCTTTCCACTCATTTTTGGACCACCAAAGCCAGCTCTGTTCTGTGTGCAGGGGCTGAGAGGGGAATCAGGGCCATCTGGAGGATGGGCAGGCAAGCCAGGCTCATGGGGGTGGGTCTTTAGCTGCCCTGTGTACGGCTGAGGAACCTAGGACACTCTGCTGGGTACATATAGACTTTTTCTCTTTTCAAATACCTTTTGAGATTATTGTAGATTCACATGGACTTTTGATCTAATACTTACTGAAGAATCCGTGACAACCCAGGAGGCTAACAGCTCACCAGGTTATCATCGATGTAAATTTCCTGCTCCAGGTAAAAAGAGGCCCTGACGGTGGACAGGGCAGAGTGGAGAGGGTGCCAGGCAGTTCAGTTAGGACACCTGGATTCTAGTCTCGGCTAAGGTTTATAGTAAGGCGGCTGTGTGCAATCCCTAATTTCTCTGACCTCTGTTTCCCCACTAGGCAGAAGATGGACTCTTCCCACCAAGGGCTGTCATGAGATGACATGTGCCAGAAGAGGGTTCTGCACAGCAAAACAGAAGGGCTTCATCAAGTGCAGGGGAACCCCAGCACCACCCCAAGCACCCTCATTTCAGCCAAGATGACTGCACTAGCCCTGTCCTGGGTCCGGCAACAATTCAATAGTAATTGTCAGCATATACCTAGGGGTAAAGGAGAAATAATGAGCCTGGATGGGACATCACGAGATCATAAAAGTAGAACATTAAAAGGAGGTAATTCACACACAGGATCATTAACCTCTGACTCTTGACCAAGAGGAGTGCCAACTGTGCAATGCTGCCCGCGGAGGCTCCTCCTGGTCCATGTGAGACTTCTCCGTAACAGGGAGAAAGCGGCTCTGGGAAGGCAAAGATGCAGGGCTGAGGGGCTCCATGACCCCAGGTCAGCTTGGGACCTGTCGTCCGAGTGGGCCTGGTGCGGGGGAAGGGAGAGGGAGGAGGCCCCACTCACCTGCTCTCATCTTCAATTTTGAGAAATGGTGCTTTCAGTCTGGCCACTGGAAAGGAAGAGAGCGCACATTAGCCAGCCGTCCGCTCCAGAGCAGGGCCTGCACTGCACTCACAGGAAATGCTCAGAGAGGCGAGGCCCTGCCAGAGCCTAAGGGCCTCCCAGAGCTGGAACACATGCTGCCCCAAGGTGCGCCTTTCCATTCAGCAGATGTGAGGCTCCTACACCCATCTCTTCCAGCCTCTACCCTGGGAGAAAGTTCCATTATCAGGGGGAGAGGAGGATGCAGGGTCCTAGGTATGCCCTCCCTCAGCAGGACAGAGGACCCTCCTGCATGTGAGTTCTGGAGACTGTTAACTGACCATCAGAAACCTAGCTGAGTGGGAGAAATCCAGCCTCCGCTGCTTTCTACTAAGAGCTCCTTCCTAGACCTCCACTCCTGGTGTCTCAGAACCCTGAGGGGCCCGCATGCACTCCCAGGCAGGATGCTCCAGGAGGACCCTGGGAGTTTTTGAGGGAGGAAGAGTAAAGAAAAAGCGAGCTAAAGAGTGTTTAGAGATCTTAGCACAAAGATAGTAAAAACAAAAACAAAAAACATCACAGGTGAAATCTAGTTCCGAAAACAACAGGGCAAAGGGGTTCTGGGAGGACAAATTTGGAGTCAATCAAGAGATTCGTCCCCTAGTAGCTAGTTTTTTTGCACAGGGTACAAAATCTCTTAGGCATTAAGAACCACTCTACTGCCCTGGCCGGTTTTGCTCAGCGGTTAGAGCGTCGGCCTGCGGTTTGAGACCCGGGTTCGGTTCCCGCTAAGGGCATGTACCTTGGTTGCAGTTTGACCCTAGCCCTGGTTGGGTAGTGTGGGTGGCGGCCACGCAATGTGTCCCTATCACATCAATGCTTCTCTCTCTCTTTCTCCCTACCACTCTATCTGAACATAAAATGGAAAAATGTCCTCTGGTGAGGATAAAAAAAAAAAGAACCACTTTACCTTCCCACAATGTCCAGAAATCCTGTCAAAGGGGCTGGAAGCCTGGGCAGAACTAACAGCCACCAAATTTCCAGAGGCTGGCTCCTCATAGCTCCTAGACCCGTTCAAGGTGGCCGCCAGCACTCCAGCAAAAAAAGCAGCCTTTCTCCCATTAATTACTTTTTTCGAGGCAATTCCTCGTCTAATTAACTGAAACAGTTATTAAAATCAATTCCCCCACAGATTTCCTTGAATTTCGAACACGAGAGGTGCCAAGTGACTTTTCTTAGCTCCTGCTTGTGCATGAATAAATGCCACTTAAAGAGCATCGTTGGGAGAAACATCCAGGAGGAGAGACTCTCCTGCTGTCCAAGAGGAGCTGGGAGCCAGGCCTGTCAATCTGCCTGTTTGTCAATTCAGGGAGTTTGGCATTTCTGAAAGTGGTAGGCAGCTGTTATACTGCCCACTCCAAACTGCTCCTGAATCAGAAGGAAAAGGATGCGGAACTTCAAATGATGGCCAGGAACAGCCAGGGGACGCAGGAGCCAGAGTGACCGCATGGGGTCCTGGCTCTAAAGAGAAGCCCCAGCCCAGCAGCTCCGGACCTGCTCATGGATACCTCTCTCCTGCCACTCTCCTCTCCGAAGCCCAGGCCCTGGAAACACGATGGGACAACACAACCTGGACTTGCTTCCTGCCGCAGAAAAGTGAGCAGATGCTGCCACAGAGGGAGTTGCAGGGAAGCGTTTAGGAAGGGAGGGATTGCAATTAGAATGAGAACAGCTCCCACACTGACCTTTCCGCGTTCTTGACTCTGCTGGACATGTTCCCTAAATGGAAAGGGAAAATAGGTTAAGGATGTGAGGGAGCCAAGGGGGTCGAGGAACCAGGCCGGTGAGCAGAGTTGCTGTGAATCTGCCCCACTTTGCTTCCTGTTGTCGGCTGAGCCCTGATCCAGAGCTGACCTGAGCACAGCGGCTCCCTCCGCCTCCCCAGGGACACAATGAGTGGCCAGCATTGTGTGTGAATCTCACGCTGACTTTGTGGAGGGAATGCAGGCCGGAGCAACAGCCAGAGCTGTGGAGCCCCACAGGCCTGGGGAGGAAGTGGAGCTGCGCCACCTGTGATGTGAGGAGCACTCACCACCTCCTGGGATGTGGCACAAATGGGTGGGGGCAGGTAACAGACCTGACACAGAGTAGGTGCTCAATAAATGGCAGCTTGCAAAGACAGGGCCATCCAGGCATGCTGCCATTTCAGGTCAGCTTACAGGACAAAGGTGAAGACAATGCGTTTTGCTCTCCTTTGCCCTGTTGTGAATTCTGTTGGTGAAAACCAACATTTAGGTCAAGGTCAAACAAAGGTAATATTAAAAACTAAATGGAGAAAAATTAAGAAACCAGTTAGGGTTGGGCAATGGGACAAGATGAGAGAGCCAGTGAATCCATGACTGCAGACCCCTCTCCAGGCCACACCTCCAGGACAAAGACACCCGAAGAAGCCTTCCTTATCCCCTCACCTATCGGCAGACTGCACCCAAAACTCACTCCAAAAGACTCACAAGTATCTACAAAATAGATTATTAAGTAAACAAAGCCAAGTACCAATACTGGGCATTTGCACAAAAGGGAACATTTTCGATATATCTGCTGTAAATGCACGGAGTCCTGGAAGGAAACCTGACGAACCGTTTGTACTGCTCATATCTCAGGGAGGGAGTTCAGAGGCTGGGGGACGGAAGCTGGAGGGGAGAGACATTCATTGTATACCTTTGCCAATTGTGACAATGCAAACCTATCTAGCAGCAGCAGCAGCAGCAAAACCTCAAAGACCCCTAGATCAGAGGTGTAGGGCAAGGGGTGCTGAGGCTGAGGGCTCCATCAGGTGCAGTCTGCTACTGCTTCTGGGTGCCAGGCCCTGGGTCGACCTGCAGGGATTAGTCCTTCCTCAGATTCGGGCCCGGTAAAAGCACCGTGGCTTTAAATCACCCTGGGCTCTCTTGATGTAATACACACAGTTGTAACTCCAGCAAAGCAAGGAAAAGCCAACTAGAATTTGGAATATGACAGCTATTTCACTTTTTTTTTTTTTTTTAATCCTCACCTGAGGACATTTTTCTGTTTTTTGTTCAGGTAGAGTGGGAGGGAGAGAGAGGAACAGAAAGACAGAGAAACATCGATGTGAAAGGGACACATCGAGTGGCTGCCACCCGCACGACCAACCAGGGCCGGGAACAAACTGCAACCGAGGCACACACCCTTAGTGGGAACCGAACCCGGGTCTCTCGGGAAAGCAGGCCGATGCTCTAACCACTGACCCAAACCAGCCAGGGCTATGGCAGCTATTTCAAACCACAACTTCCACCCCTGTCCCTACCCATGCTGTCTGCAGGCTCATTCCTGGGCCTAGAGACATTCCCAGAAAGGCATCCTGGCCAGGAGGCCATGGCATTTCTGTTTTATCAAGACCAGGACTGTCCACGGCCCAGGCGAAAGTGAATGCCTCAGTGTACCACAGGGAGGAAAAGGACAGGCTATGCACACCAGGGAAGAGCTACCAGAGAGGCCGCACTCTTACTTCTTCCAGAATGGCCAAGAACAGATAACTTGGGTGGGACATAGACTTACTAAAGTTGTCACAGACCTCAGGTTGCAAACCATGCATTTCCCTTCACTTCAGCAGGATGACCTACCTCTGCCTTCTTTGGCCCTTGTTTCTTCGCACATAAAGCATCTAGAGAGAGCTGCTGCACATGCACCATCATGTCTGTGGAGAAAAGAAGGCTGTGGCTAATGGCTTCCACTCCTTTCCCCAGCAGAGCCCCTTCCTGGGGCTGGGGGGGACTAAAAGTCTCACCAGGCCAGGCACACTGGATCGTACCAGCCTTGCCTGCCACCTTCTGGCTACAAGTCACCTCTGCACCTGCTGATAATAAAAGAAATGGCTGGGTCCTCTGTCCCTGGAAAAGGATGTAAGCTGGCTTCACACTCTTTTGTAGCACTGAATACAACTCTTGAACACGAAGTGACTTACGGCTCACAAAAGGCTCTAAGGTACCACTGAAGAGCTGCTTCTGGTACTCAGATGTATCCTTAGTGGGCGAGACCCAGCAGGGCTACACATGCTGGAGCTTCTCTAATGCACAGGAAGGCAGGAAACTGGATCAAGTTAGAAATGGCTGATTTTCCAGTGACAATGGAGCCCCCCACCTCCCAGCTCAGGACCTTCCCACGACAGTTTCTATCCCCCTGGCAGATCTCAGGCTGGATCTGGACCAGTCCCTTTCAAGGGTCAGAGAAAACCCAACATGAAGTGGAGCTGGATATGAGGGCCAGTGTCTGCCAGCCTATTCAGGACAGCTTTCTAGTATAAATTTATTACCACCTGCAAACAGGTGGTCAGTGTGAGGCAACCCTATAAGAAAGAACATGAAGCTTAGTTGGGCCAAACTAGGTTGGAATGTGGGTCACACGCCTCACTCCTGGTGAGACTACAGATAATTGACTTAATCCCTCTAAGGCTCAATTTCCTCATCTGTACACTAGGCAGAGGACTGGGTGAGGATTAAATATGGTAATTCCTAGCACAGAGTAGATACCTGATAAGTGGTCATGGATATTAGGATTATTTCCTTATTTGTAAAAGAAGATCATAATGTTAGCTCGAGGAGTTCTGCTGAGTGGGTTAAACAGGATAGCGCCTTCCAGTACATACACTCTGCTATTGTTACTGCTGGTCTCCACACCCTCCCACCTTTGTGGATCAACATGGTAACTGAGTATGCTTGGCTTCCAGCAAGCTTACACAACTACGATTCCTCTAAAAGCGGACATTCCCAGTCAGTCACCAACCCTCCCCTCCACAGGAGCCCTGGGCAGAAATGGTACCATCCACATGCAGAATCCTCACTCCCCAGGAGCGGGCATTGGTCAGGAGGCTGCTGCTGCTCCCACTGCCTCCTCCACTACTGCTCCCCTGGAAAGACAAAGCAGAGTCAGGCAGGAGCAGAAGACGCCACAAGGCCTGAATACTATGGGGATAGGCTGTCCTGGTTTCTGGGGGCTCCGGGTCATCCATATGGAGGAATGTTATGGGGAGAATCTACCCCAACCCCTGGGGAGATCCCTATTCGCCACATGGGCTGGCTACATCTGGAGGGGATAGACTGCTGGTCTACCCATGCACTCTGCTCCGGCCACCTTGTGACCAGGAAGGAACACGTGTTTGTAAGAGAGCTGCTTGTTGGGAGAGCTGCTTGTGTGTCAGCACACAGTAAGGAATAAATACCAGTGACAATCACCATCATCTAGCAGGAAGCTATGCTGGCCACACACTTTTCCTGCCCTGCCGCCCCCGTCGGCCATCATCCTCCCTCATCACAGCCAATGCAATGATGTCACTTTAATGACTCCTCTTTACCTAAATTCCCCCTCCTGTCACTTAACTGTAATGGTTCTGGGTTCTCACAAAAGGGATGAACAGCTACTTGTAAAAGATGTACAGTCTGGCCCTGGCCAGGTAGCTCAGTTGGTTAGAGCATCGTCCCAACACGCCAAGGTTGCGGGTTCGATCCCTGGTCAGGGCACATACATGATTTAACAATGAATGCATACATAAGTGGAACAACAAATTGATCTCTTTCTCTCTTTTAAATCAATAAGCAAATTTTTAAAATCTTTGAAAAATATAGATTTACAAAATCTCTATGTGCAGAGCAGACACATCCCACAGCATCCCCCCAAGATTCTCTTGGTAGGCTCTGAGTCAAAAAAATCAAGGAGTCGCCCTGGCCGGTTTGGTTCAGCGGTTAGAGCGTCGGTCTGTGGTCCTGAGAGACCCGAGTTCGGTTCCCGCTAAGGGCATGTACTTCGGTTGCAGTTTGTCCCCGGCCCTGGTCGGTTGTGCGGGTGGCAGCCACTCGATGTGTCCCTTTCACGTCGATGTTTCTCTCTCTCTCTCTGTTCCTCTCTCTCCCTCCCACTCTACCTGAACAAAAAATGGAAAAATATCCTTGGGTGAGGATAAAAAAAAAAAAAAAAAAAAAAAAAAATCAAGGAGTCAAATCCTGGCTCTACCACTGACACAATGGGTGACTATGAACTAATTACTTAACTTCTCTGAGCTCCAGTCCTCATTTGTAAGAAGAAAATGACAATACATTTCATAGGTTGTGTGTTTTTTGTTAGTACAGTTGATCCTTTAACAATGAGGGGATTAGAAGTGCTGACCCCCGTGTAGTTGAAAATCCACATATAACCTTTTTTTTAATCCTCATTCAAGGACATTTTTCCATTTTTTGTTCAGATAGAGTGAGAGAGAGAGAGAGGAACAGACAGAGCGAGAGAGAAACATCGACGTGAAAGGGACACATCGAGTGGTTGCCACCTGTATGACCCATCCAGGGCTGGGGACAAACTGCAACTGAGGTACGTGCCCTTAGCGGGGACCGAACCCGGGTCTCTTGGGACCGCAGACCAACACGCTAACCACTGAGCCAAACTGGCCAGGGCCCGCATATAACTTTTGACTCTTCAAAAACTTGTCCTTAGGTATCTGTGAGAGATTGGTTCTATGACCTCCCGCGGATACCAAAATCTGCAGATGCTCAAGTCCCCTATATAAAATGGCATAGATCAATGAATACAGTCAGCCCTCCACATCTGCAGACTCCCAACCATGGGTCAAAAATAGTACAGGTATTTATTGAAAAAAAAAAGTCCAGGTATAAATGGACCTGTACAGTTCAAACCTGTGTTATTTGCACTTCAGAAGAAACTTGGAGCCCTCAGCTCACCTGGTTTCTGATGGCCTTCTGCAGTAGCTCCTTCCCTCTGCTCATAGGCACCTGAACAGGAAGAGAAGAGCATTAGGTATGCCGTGTAAACCACCCATGTTCAAACAGACATTTACACAGGAGCTGGAGAGGATGTCTTGAAGTCATGTCTTGGAAAACTAAGAGTAATGACAGCTCAGGAGTGGCCGAAATGAGAGCCTAGAACCTTCCGGAGGTAAAGGTTAAGCCACACCCAAGTTCAGATTACTCACAGGTAGCTGTGGCCTGAACTCTGGTGGCGAAGGGCATTTTGAATTCACCAGAGGTCAAAGTGTTACAGATGTTCTTTTTTTTTTTTTTTTTTTTTATCCTCATGGGAGGATATTTTTTCACTTTTTATTCAGATAGAGCAGGAGGGAGAAAGAGGAAGAGAGAGAGAAAAACATTGATGTGAAAGGGACACATCAAGTGGCTGCCACCCGCACGACCCAACCAGGGCCAGGGACAAACTGCAACCGAGGTACATGCCCTTAGCGGGAACCGAACCCGGGTCTCTCTGGACCGCAGGCCGACGCTCCAACCGCTGAGCCAAACCGGCCAGGGCGTTACAGATGTTCTAAGACTTCCCTTTAAGAGTCTCTGCAGCCCTGGCCGGTTTGGCTTAGCGGTTAGAGTGTCGGCCTGTGGTCCAGAGAGACCCGGGTTCGGCTCCTGCCAAGGGCAGGTATCTCGGTTGCAGTTTGTCCCCAGCCCTGGTTGGATCGTGTGGGTGGCAACCACTCGATGTTTCCCTTTCACATCGATGTTTCTCTCTCTCTCTCCCTCCCTCCCACTCTATCTGAACAAAAAAATGGGAAAATGTCCTCAGGTGAGGATAAAAAAAAAAAAAGAGTCTCTGCACTGCCCAGCTGGTGTGGCTCAGTGGTTGAGCATCGACCCATGCACCAAGAGGTCACCAGTTCAATTTCCAATCAGGGCACATGCCCGGGTTGTGGGCCAAATCCCCAGGGGGGCGCATGCAGGAGGCAGCCAATCAGTGTTCTCTCTCATCGATTTTTCTATCTTTCTCCCCCTCTCCCTTCCTCTCTCAAATCAATAAAGAAAAAAATATTAAAAGTGTACTCTCCAGAAGGTAAGTATAGGCCAATTTCAACAAGCCTTCTCTGGTTTATTTTATTTATTTATTTATTTTTTTATCCTCACCCGAGGACATTTTTCCATTTTTTGTTCAGATAGAGTGGGAGGGAGGGAGGAAGGGAGGGAGGGAGGGAGGGAGGGAGGGAGAGAGAGAGAGAGAGAGAGAGAGAGAGAGAAACATCAACATGAAAGGGACACATCCAGTGGTTGCCACCCACACAACCCAATTAGGGCCGGGGACAAACTGCAACCAAGGTAAATGCCCTTAGCAGGAACTGAACCTGGGTCTCTCTGGACCGCAGGCTGATACTCTAACCGCTGAGCCAAACTGGCCAGGGCAAGCCTTCTCTGGTTTAGAGGACCTTCCTGTTGTTTCTGAAACTCTGCCTCAGCAAGTCCCATAAAAAGGGACATCATAAAAGAAATAGCACGGGGAGAGCATACTGTGAGGTGTTTAGATCCAAGCTGTGATAAAATATTTTCAGCCCCTGAATTCTAATGAGAAATTAAACCAGATAAAATTAAAACCAGAGACTGCCTCAAAGGGCTCATGGGGGCTTACTTCTTTTGTTTACAGAGTACACCTTTCCTACTCCACAAGGTTCTTACCAAGTCTACGGGTTTCTGTAAGGGCCTGGTGTGGCTGCCTTTTGGTTCAGCCATGGATGGTGCTTCCACTCTGACCTCGCTGGGGCTGGAGCAGCTTCTGTGGCTGGTCCTGCTACTCTCTGTCTTCGCCTCCCTGCGGCTGGACACGATGCAACTTACTTCTTTGCTCAGAAAACCCTCAATTACCTGAAACCAGATCAGAGAGGTGGCTGAAAACCAAAAGGCAGATGTAGAATCATCAATACTGAGAGGTTGAAGAAGGAAATCTTGGCTGCTAGAAGGACCAGAATCATGTCTTTAAATAGACCAAATGCAGTTCTGCACTGGGTCTCCAAAGTAGACATCATTCTGAAATATAATAGATCTCTCTCTCTCCATATCTGTGTGTGTGTGTGTGTGTGTGTGTGTGTAAATTACAGGTTTTTGTCTCCAGAAGTGCTGCTCCTGACCCAGCAGAAGGCCACAGGCTTTGAGTTATTTGATCAGTTTGAGTTTTCATGGAGCAAGAGCACACAGAAGGGGCCAGAACAGATTAAAGGGTAGCTTAGTTAAGCCAGGACTTTTCTGTGAAGATACACTGGAACATCCAGACCCCACATCTGTAACCTTGACTACACTACTAAAAGGAACCTAACATATAAAACCAAAAAGAGTTTTGGTTACTATTCAGCTGGACAGGTATCTGCTCACCTTACATGTAAGTTCTTCATGGGCATTGAGAGGGTCTTACTCCTCTTTGTATCCCAAGAGCCCAACATAGTGCCTGAAACACAATGACACTTAACTCTTATTTGTGGGGAGAAGAAAAGATAGAAATAAGCAGTGATTGGCTGAAAAATGTTTAATGACAGACTCTCCAGGGGAAAAAAATTCTTGCTTTGTAGCATTTATTGACTTCTGTGGGGTAAATACTCCCACTATGACAGATTTCAAGCTATCAACATGATGTCACTGAACGTAAAATGTGGTATATCCATACAATGGAATATTATTTAGCCATAAAAAGAAATAAAGTTTTAATTCATGCTACAATGTAGATGAACCTTGAAAACATGCTAAGTGAAGTATCATGTAACATAAGGTCAAGTATCAGTGATTCCACTGATATGAGGTTATCTAGAACAGGCAAATTTATAGAGACAGAAAGTGATTATAGGGAAGAAAAATGGAAAGTTATTGCTTAATGGTTATACAGTTTCTGTTTGTGGTGATAAAAGTTTTGGAAACAAAAAAGTGGCGATGGTTACACCACTGTGTGAATATAATTAATGCCAATGAAGTACACTCTTAATAATGGTTAAAATGGCATATTTTATGTTATATATATTTTACCGCAATGTAAAAAAATCTTTAAAGTTATGCTTGAGCCCAGCCAGTGTAGCTCAGTTGGTTGAGCATCATCTCATGCACCAAGAGGTTGCTGGTTTGATTCCCAGTCAGGGCACATGTCTAGGTTGCAGCCTTGATCCCCAGTAGGGGGCATGCAGGAGGCAGCTGATTAATGTTTCTCCTTGATGTTTCTATCTCTCTCTCCCTCCCTCTCTTTCTAAAATAAATAAAAATATTTTAAAAATAAAATAAAATAAAGTTATGGCTTGAAGGAGTACCTCTGTCTACCTTCTGTAATGTGGCAAAAACAAATGCTAGAGCCTGTGGGAGTGGGGCAATGATTATCCTATATAAATATGACAGACAGCTGAATGGCTGCACATTCCTCCCATCCCACTGTACCCACTCATTTGCAATGTCACTTTGCTGTTCCTTCTATCAGGAGGTGGAGACCTATTCTTCCATCCCCTTGAATAAATAGGATTCCTTTTGTCCAATACAACGGGGAAAATAATATGTGTGAGTTCCAGAGCCTAGGCCACAAGAGGCCTTGTAGCTTCTCCCTTCACCTTCTGGGAAAGCTACCCTGAGACCACGTGTACATTGGCTGGTCTAGCTTATTGTATATGTACATGATAGTATTCGTTCATGCAATGTATGTAAGAAGCTTCTCCTACAGTCTATGACAGGCCCCAGAGGCAGCCAGCATCAACTGCCAGATGTGTGAGTGAGGTCAACTAGGTCCTTCCAGTCCAGCTGACTCTCCAGCCATATGTATCTGCAATAGAAACGACCAGCAGAGAAACCACCCAGCCAACCTAGGGAATAGTGAGAAAGAACTTGTTTTAAGCCTAAATCTTGGGGTGTTGTTGTTGTTGTTTTAATACAGCAAAGGTTAAATGACAGAAGAGACTAAAAGTTCAAAATGTATTTTTGGGCCAGCTTGGGTGTATGATTGTCACTCAATCCATCCCCACTGCTGAGTCTCTACATCCCTGAGTCTGTCAGACTGACAGCAAAGAGCCTCTGCATTCTAAGCCTCTTCAGGCAGTCTCCCCAGTGACCCACCTCTTCCGGGCCAAGCATTATCATCCTATTTTCTAAACACAAGACTTGCCCATGCCAACCCTTACTAAAAATACCATATGACATACATCTGCCTCAAAAATATTTTAAAGGACTCAAACACAACAAATGCTGTTTACCTAAAATTATTTACCACAGTGTTATTTATAAGAGCTCAAATTGGAAATAACCTAAATATCCACAGGGTAAGTTAAGTAAATTAATAATCCATGCAAAAGAATACTATATTCTCATTACAAATAATGCATATGAGGGAAAATAATGTTAAGAAAGTGCTAATGCTTTAAGGTTATGGGCAAAAAGTTGGTAATCAAAAATGTATTTATGATCATAGCTACACAGAAAATAAGCGTTACAAACAAAAAAGAATCTAGAAGTACATAAATGGTTACCCAGGGTAGGGGGTATTGAGAGGACATAGGGAATGACTGACATGGGTCTGGGTTTCTTTTTTGGGGTGATGAAAACATTCTAAAATTGACTGTGTAATCACACTTGGATATCTCTGTGAATATACAAAAAAACACTGAATTGTTCACTTTAAATGGGTGAACTGTATCTCAATAAAGCTATGAAAGAGAGAAAGGAGCTCAGAAAAAATAAATACATCAAAATGACGTCTGTCACTTGCAGCAGTTCCATGTTCTCTAAAATTTCTAGAATGAACAGATATTATTTTTCAAATCAGAAAAAAATTTTAACTTTATTTAAAAAAATGGCTTATACTTAAAACTGCTTTGGAAAAATGTAGCAATATCACTGAAAATACCTGGAAGACAGATATAACCCCTTTCCTGCACCTGCCCTACAACCTGCAAAGGCACGTGGTATCGAAGGAGAGAGGCAGGTTGGTTACATACCCCACCCAGCTGCTGGATGGCCTCCGTTAAAAACTGGAGATTCTTGCCAGCAGGCAGATCCAAGTAAAAGGACTTTCCAGAAAAGGGCTGCCGCCTCCCAGCATCTGGTGAGCTCTTCTGGCATTTTTCCAGACAACTGGAAACTCCCAGCTGAGCCCCTAGAAAACAACAAAGAGGAGCAAAGTGAGAAGCTTGAGGTAAGAGAGTCCTGTAAGTGAAGTAACCCTCACCAACAGCCTCTGCGTGGTGTGCCCACGCTGGACCCTGGGCACGCAAAGATGAATGGGAGACCAGTGTTCTTGCTTTGGGGTGGTTTTCCTCTTCTATCCCCCCAGTCCCTAAACTCAATAGAGGGTCATAAGTTAGGGCCTAAGCTTTTGTATTTTCCTTCCAGGAGCATATTACCAATCAGAGTGGCTAACAGTCCCAAGGGAACATTAGCTTATAAGAAAACATGAGGCAGTGAAAGAGAGCAAGATGCTTTCTCTGGTATAGGTTATTTACCTATTACAAGTAATTAACCGAACAGAAAAAAAATTTTTAAGTATAATAAATATCCTCAAAAGGGCAAGGAAGGATACTGGAAACATAAAAATAGGAATAGTAGGTGAGGAAAAAAACTGAGAACACTGGTATGAATCTAGAGAAAAGGTAAACCAGATAGTAATCCATCTGACAGAAGAGACAAAAAGGATTATTGCCTGTCTTAGGCTGGGCTCTGCGTGAAAGGAAAGTCTCCCTGAGAACTAAGAATCACAGGCCTCTCAAGAATTTGGAATTCAGCCTGGCCGGTGTGGCTCAGTGGTTGAACATCGACCCATGCACCAAGAGGTCGCTGGTTCAATTCCCAGTCAGGGCATAGGTTGTGGGCCAAGTCCCCAGTGGGGGGCATGCAGGAGGCGGCCAATTAATGTTCTCTCTCATCAATGTTTCTATCTCTCTCTCCCTTCCTCTCTCTAAAATCGATAAAAAGAAAAAAAAAGAGTTTGGAATTCAAACGCATACTGTTGATATGGTCTAAGAACCCACTACCACCACCGCCAAACATAAATTAATGTAAAAAGTAATCCCAGCTAGTAACAGTTGGCATACCTCAAAGAATTAAAAGCAAAACAATTCTATAGAGCTGCTCAGATCAGAGTTCCCAGAATTTCCTCAGATAAAGCATCATCAAATACTAGATCTCACTTCAACACTATAAAACACATGGAGGAAACAAGCCACTATGGAGAAGAATCAGCAGAAATAAGAGACAACAAAATTAGATCTCTAAGTGCTCCAAAAAGAATGACCAGATATAGATTACAAGGTAAGTATTCAGAGAAAGGATGAGAGAGAGATAGAAACATCGATTGGCTGTGTCCTGCATGCCCCCCACTGGGGACTGAGCCCGCAATCCGGGCATGTGCCCTGTTCTGGAATCCAACCAGTGACCTCCTAATGCATGGGACAATGCTCAACCAATTGAGCCACAACAGCTGGGCTAAATGTATAATAATTTTTGTTGGTGTTGTTAATCCTCACCCAAGGATATTTTTCCATTGATTTTTTAGATAGAGTGGAAGGGCGGGAAGGGAGGAAGGAAAGAGGGGAGGAGAGAGGGAGGGGGAGGGGGGAGAAAGAGAAAGAATGTATAATAATTTAAAAAAACAAACAAATTCTGCTCTGGCCAGTTTGGCTCAGCAGTTAGAGTGTTGGCCCGTGGACCAGAGAGGCCAGGGTTCAGTTCCCGCTAAGGGCATGTACCTTGGTTGCAGTTCGCCCCTGGCCCTGGTTGGGGTCGCGTGAGTGGCAACCAGTCGATATGTCTCTCTCACATTGATATTTCTCTCTCTCTTCCCCCCTCTCTCCCTCCCGTTCTATCTGAAGATAAATGCAAAAATGTCGTCAGGTGAGGATAAAAACAAAAATTTTTTTTCCCAACCTAGAACTCTACCTAGGTGAACTAGCATTCAAATGTAAGGTAGCACAGAACTGTCCGAACTGTCCAAACTGCAAGGTCTCAAAGAAAACTTACTTGTCATGTACCCTTTCTCAGGAAGCTATACTAGAAGATATACTCTACTAAAACCAGGAAGTAGCCCTGGCAAAGCAGCTCAGTTGGTTAGAGCATTACTTGATATGTCAAGGTTTCGGGTTCAAACCTGATAAGGGCACATACAAGAACCAATCAATGAATGCATAAATAAGTGAAATAGCAAATTAGAGTCCCCCCCCCCCCCCGCCTCTAAAATCAATAAATTAAAAAATGAAATAAAATAAAAACAGGAAGTAAACAGAAAAAGGAAAATATGGAATTGAGAATACAGAGAATCTATATTCTAATAGGCAAATAGAATTCCACCGAATGATGAAGGGAGATCCTAGGATGAAATTAGTGTAACAGGCCTAGTGCATAGCTGGACCAGACTGGGTATTAAGACAAATGGTCTCGCCCTGGCCAGTTTGGCTCAGTGGTTGGAGCGCTGGCCTGCGGTCCGGAGAGACCCGGGTTCGGTTCCCGCTAAGGGCATGTACCTCGGTTGCAGTTTGTCCCCGGCCCTGGTTGGTCGTGCGGGTGGCAGCCACTCGATGTGTCCCTTTCACATTGATGTTTCTCTCTCTCTCTCTCTCTCCCCCTCCTGCTCTATCTGAACAAAGAATGAAAAAGTGTCCTCGGGTGAGGATAAAAAAAAAAAAAAAAAAAAATTGGAAAAAAAAAGATAAATGGTCTCAGAAGGTATGTCTTCCAGACAAAGAAGAAATCGATAGTCTCTGATGAACTTGAAAGTACTGGGACAAGGTTTAGACTTTTGGACATGAATTAGTGATCCATACACAGAAAACAAAGCATAGTCTGCTATATAGTTCAGCTTGAATAATCTTTCCAAATCAAAATAATGTAAATACAAAATTACTAAACAAAAAGTACCACATTTAAAACAACGAGGTATCACCTCACACCTGTCAGAATGGCTGCCATCAACAAATCATCAAACAGCAAATGTTGGCGAGGGTATGGAGAAAAGGGGATTCTAGTACACTGCTGGTGGAAATGCAGAGTGGTGCAGCCACTATGGAAAACAATATGGTGTTACCTCAAAAAATTAAAAATTGAACTGCCATTTGACCCAGTGATCCCACTTCTAGGAATATACCCTAAGAAGCCTCAAACACCAATCAGAAAGAATATATATACCCCCATGTTCGTAGCAGCACTATTCACAATAGCTAAGATCTGGAAACAGCCCAAATGTCCCTCAGTAGACGAATGGATAAAAAAGCTGTGATACATATACACAATGGAGTACTATGCAGCTGTAAGAAAGAAAAGATCTTTTATCTTTTGAGACGATATGGAGGGACCTGGAAAGTATTATCCTAAGTGAAACAAGCCAAACAGAGAAAGACAAGTATCATATGATCTCACTTATTTGTGGAATATAATGAACATAACAGTCTGAGGAATGGGGTAGTCCCAGAGACATGGAAGTGGGGTACAGACTGACAATCCCCAGAAGAGGGAGTGGTGGGGGAGAAATAAACCACAGAACTTATATGCATGTATGCATGAACAATGGACATGGACAACAAAGCTGGGGACAGGGCGGGGAGGGGGGGGATCAGTGGGGGGAAAGGAGAAACATCTGTAACAAAAATAAATAAATAAATTTTTTTTAAAAAGTACCATATTATATACTGGGAGGATGAGAGGAGAGGAGCTAAATGTGTCTGCAGTGTAGAGGAGTGGGGGGATCAGAAAAAAAGCTTTATCTTCCATATTAGAAAGTCAATAAATATAATTGAAAGTTAAAACAGCAAAAGCAGGGAGCATACAATTTAGAAAGAAGAGGTAATTACTAGAAGAAATAGCTAAAAGAGGGTCAATGGTTATACCCTAGGGAGTGGGAGTCAGGAAGAATGAAAAGAGGAGCAACTTCTACTCCTGCTTTTTGTGTATGTGTGTGTGCGTGCGATAGAACTTGACCTTTTAAACTATGTACCATAAAACTGTGATAAAAATTAAAAACCCTGTAAAATTCACACCTAGTCATGTTATAATGAATTTTAGGAGCAAATATAAAGAGAATGATCTAAACTCTTTTAAAGTGAAAAGCAGGTAACTTACAAAGAAACAAGATTCTGATTGACATCAATTCTCAACAGCATCTACTTTTTGCAAGAAGAAACTATTGTATTTTTTCAATGTGTTAAGGACAAAAAACTTTGACTCAAGAATTTTAATACAAGGGTAAAATAAAGATATTCTCAGGCATAAAGCCTCAGAAAGTTTGTCACATAAAGCTCTCTTCTGAAAACACTCTTGGAGAAAGTTCTCCAGTAAAAAGAGAAATAGAGCCCCGCCTGTGTGGATCAGTAGACTGAGCATCATCCCACAAACTAAGAGGTGCCAGTTTGATTCCTCCTCAGGTACATGTTTCTCGCTCACATCCATGTTTCTCTCTCTCTCTCCCTTCCTCTTTCTCTAAAAAAAATCAATAAAAACAGGTTAAAAAAAGAGAGAGAGGGAGAAATAGATCTAGAAGAAAGCAACAAGACATGGGCAAGAAGAGTAAATAACTTAGTAAAGTGTATTACTATTTATTTATTTTTATCCTCACCAGAGGATATTTTTACATTTATCTCCAGATAGAGTGGGAGGGAGAGAGGGAGGAAGAGAGAGAGAGGGAGGAAGAGAGAGAGATCAATGTGATAGAGCCACATGGACTGGTTACTTCCCGCACGACCCCAACTGGGGCCAGGAAGGAACTGCAGCCGAGGTAGTGCCCTTCGCCAGAATTGAACCTGGTACTCTTTGGTCCACCAGCAGCTTCTCTCGCTGCTGAACCAAACCGGCCAGGGCTAAAGTGTGTTACTATTTAAAAGGTAACAACCACCCTGGCCAGTTTGGCTCAGCTGTTAGAGCATTGGCCCTCGGACCAATGACTCATGGGTTCAATTCTGGTCAAGGGCACATACCTCAGCTGACCCTGTTCAGGAGAGAGCCAATCAGTATGTCTCTCTCATATGGTGTTTCCTCTCTCTCTCTCCCTCTCTTCCACTCTACCTGAGGATAAGTGGAAAAATATCCTTGGGTGAGGATTAAAAAAAAAAAGGTAACCAAACAGCATATCTGTAACATTCCAGAACTAAAACTTAATGAGACTAAGGCACAGGAGAGGAGTATTGAGGGAAGTGACAAGGTGCTAAAATAGTTTTTTTTGTGGTACATGTCCCTAGCGGGAACCGAACCCAGGACTCTCTGGTCCGAAGGCCGACACTCAACCGCTGAGCCAAACTGTCCAGGGCGCTAAAAATACTTTTATAACTGATAAACTTGATCACTTTATGACAAAAATAATCGTGAATATGGGTTTAACATTCATGGTTACTCAACCATGACTCCCATCTATCTGCCAATCTTGCTCATAATACCGTACTGAAAGATCCTTTTTGACCCCTACCATGAATTCCTAAATGATCCATGACATCCATCAACACATACAACACTCACACACAAAACCACTAATAATTAGAAAACCCCAACAAGGCTAACATCTCTCAGCCTTTCCTCCCAAGAGGCTCTGGGGCAGGAGTAGTAACTTTGATCTCGCATCCCTGGTTTTGACCTGTTACCTACCTAAGTCCGGAGGCCGGAGTCTACTCTCAGCCATTGAACTCGCCAGCTCAAGGCAATCTTCGCCTGAAAAAGGACAAAACGGCTAAACCACCTTCCCCTCCACCGCCTCCCAAATCCCGCACACTCCCCAACGCAGTTACCAGGAACAGCAAGACACAACTCCATGCCTACCACATCCATCTCCACTCCCGCGCCACCTTTCTGGCATTGTAACTCAGTCCCTCCGTCCCCTTCAGATCTCTGTCCACTCAACTCCTGGGACCGCTCCTGGCCCCTCTACCCTCGCCAGCTCCTGCATCTATTTGCTCCCTAATTCCTAATTCCACTTCCCGACCCCGTTACCTCTCTACAACTCTTTTGACCCCTTTCCGCTTTTCTTCTTACCCCTTCTCCCCTTCCCGGCATCCGTACCCTTTCCTGGTTCCCCCAAATTCTCGGCTCTTTCTGGGCTTCCCTACTCCTTCTTCATGGCCGCTGTGTTACAGAAGCGAAGTCCCGCAGCTTTCAGACTCCGACCCCGATACTGCTCGGCAGCTACAGCATCACTCTCCAGGCGCCCTCTGCCGCGGCTTCGTTTTAAATTTCCTCTCGGCTCCGCCCCTAAACCAATGTGATAGCGATGAGACGGCCTACGGTGGCCCTGGGAGGACAATATTAACTATGTAAAGCCTTCCCAACCTCCTTCGTTTTCCGCTCCGCTTTCTCTCTCATCTGTTCATTGGCTGGAGATACTCTGAGCCTTAATAACCAGCAAGCCAGGGACTAGCTTGATTCTTCACACAAACCACTTTGAAATCCCTGGGAGTTCGATGATGATAAAAGAAGCCTCACACAGAGTATGTACAGTTTAAATGAAGATTGCGCATACACATTTCATCTTCACATCTTTGAGTCCCTCCCTTTTCTCCACTTACCTGTCCAACCAAAAATTTTTCGGAAGAGGTGTCTTCATTTCTCACTTTCCATCTTTTCTCCAACTCATCTCATTAGACGTTGATCCTCACCTCTCCGCTAAAACTATACTTATCCAGGTCAACTGTGACTTCCGTGGTCCCAAATTGTATGGTCATTTTGGTATCGTCAGCCTATCCGACTTTTAGAACACTGAAACAGGCTCCTCCTCCTTCTTGAAACACTCTTCTTTTTTGCTTCCATTTCTACCTTTCCCACCTTACTTCAGTGGCTCCTCCTCAATTTCCATTGCTGGATCCAAAGGCACTGTTTCACCTATAAATGGAGTATGCCTCCGCTTTAGCCCTTAGCCCTGGGTCCTCTTCTTTTCCTTATTAACACTCCCTAGATGACCTCATCCAATTCCATGGCTTTATAATTCAGCCCCATGCTAATGCCTCCAGATTTTCTTTCCCAAGTTCTGACCTCTCGACTTACATATTCAACTGCCTTCTGGGTATTTCCATTTGGATATCTAATAGGTGTCTCAGACTTAACATGTTCAAAACAACATATTTTTCTACTTCCCACCCCCTCAAAAAACCACACCTATTTCCCCAGTCTTCCCCATCTCTGTAAATGTTATATCATTCACTTAGTGGCTCAAACCCAAAACCTAGAAGTTACCTTTCAGTACTTTCCCTTATCCCCACCCCCCCACCCCCACTCTAAAAACAAGTTAGACAGACTTCAAAGTACATCTTCAGACCACTGCTACCATACTAGTCCAGGTCACTATCATTTCTTGTCCAAAGTACTTTATCAATTCCAAACACTACTTCTACTCTTCAGTAGCTTCCTACCTCTCCCCAATATAATCCATTCTTCATGCACAACCAGAATGATTACTTTAAACACCATGGTAGAGGTATATACCTCATATATTTGGTATCTCTTCCAGTGGGCTCCTTCCCTGCAGAAAATTATACATCCCAGTCCTAATGAACTAAAGCTTGGCCCTATGACTTGCTTTGGCTAATGAAAAAAGAAAAAGAAATGACACATCACTTCCAAGCACAAGTTTTAAAAGTTGGGATGGTTTGCCAAGCTCTTTTCACTCATCGCATTGACTGGCAATGTCCTAGCTAGAGGCTGCCCTGTCAATATTGGTTCCTTAGTAAAGATGACATAGAACAGAACCGTGGGCAACCCATAGTGGATTTGTAGCATACGGAAGACATAAACCTTGTTGTAAACTACTACTACTAGTACAGCTTTTTGGCATCATTTGTTACCATACCATGATCTAGCTCAGGGTTCTCAAAATGTGGCTCAGTGCTTTCAGAAGGTTCCATAAAGTCAAAACTATTTTTACAATAATACTAAGACACTATTTTCCATTTTTGCTCATTCTCTCATGAATGTTAAGTGGAGTAAACAGCAAAAATGAGAATACAACTCTTTTGTCAAAACAAATAATAAAGAGATTTCCAGAAATGTAAAACAATGTCATTCTTCTGATTATTTTTGTTTTGGAAAATATATTTTCATTAAAAATGCATTATTTATGTTAACACATAGTGGGCTTATTTTTATTTTTTAAAGATTTTTAATTTTTAGCCCTGGCCGGTTTGGCTCAGCGGTTAGAGCGTCGGCCTGCGGTACAGAGAGACCCGGGTTCGGTTCCCGCTAAGGGCACGTACCTTGGTTGCAGTTTGTCCCTGGCCCTGGTTGGTCGTGCGGGTGGCAGCCACTCGATGTGTCCCTTCACGTCGATGTTTCTCTCTCTCTCTCCCTTCCTCTCTCTCCCTCCCACTCTATCTGTACAAAAAATGGAAAAATATCCTGAGGTGAGGATAAAAAAAAAAAAAAAATCTCTCTCTTTGCCCTGGCCGGTTTGGCACAGCGGTTAGAGCGTCAGCCTGCGGTCCACAGAGACCCGGGTTCGGTTCCCGCTAAGGGCATATACCTTGGCTGCAGTTTGTCCCCGGCCCTGGTTGGGTTGTGTGGGTGGCGGCCACTCGATGTGTCCCTTTCACATCGATGTTTCTCTCTCTTCCTCTCTCTCCTTCCCGCTCTATCTGAGTAAAAAATGGAAAAATGTCCTCGGGTGAGGATAAAAAAAAAAAGATTTTTAAAATTGATTTTTAGAGAGCAGAGAAGGGAGAGGCTCAGGGGCCTTCTGCACACCCCCTACCAGGGATCAAGCTGGCAACCCAGGTATGTGCCCCGATGGAGAACTGAATTGGCAACCTTTCAGCGCACAGGATGACACCCAACCAACTGAGCTACACTGGCCACGGCAATTGTGGGCTTATTTCTAAATAAAAAAACTAATATTTTAAAATGTTGTTTTAATTTCTAATATGGTAAACATCAAATATAATTTTATTGTATAAATACATATACATACATAAAATGTTTATATTTATAAATAGAAATGGAAGAAAAACCCACATTTTGGTAGCCAGTGTCCAAGATGGCCTGCAATGATCCTCAATTCCTGCCCATATCAAATAGGGTTATGGACCAATAGAATAATGAAGAAATGACAATGTGTGACTTCTGAGGCTGAGTCAAAAAAGATGTTTCAACATTTGTGTTGTTATTAGATCACCTGCTGTGGGGAAGGACAGCACTCATGCCTTGAGGACACTCAAGTACGCCTGTGGGGAAGTTCACGTGGAGACAAACTGAGGCTTCCTGCTAACAGCCAGCACCAACTTACCACTCATATGGTTGAGCCATCTAGCAAGCAGATCCTTCAGCCCTAGTCAAACTTTCAGATGATTGCAACCTCACAAGATCTCAAACCAGAAAATCCCAACCAACCAAGCTGTGCCCAAATTCCAGGCCCACAGAAACCCAGAAAAAAAAAAAAAGATTATTGTTTTAAGTAATTAAATTTTGGGGTGATTTGTATAAAGCAACAGATATCTAATATACATATAAACAAAAAAGCTGTATGGGATCCTCAGTTTTTTAAAATAGAAAGAGACCTGAAACCAAAACTTTCAGAATTGCTAACCTAGCCTATTCTGATTGATATAGTCAAATCAAATTACCTTCTCTTTCATAAACTTCCAGTGGCTTTTCCTGTTTGCTCTGTTGACCATACGCCTTCGTGTCTTGAACAAGCCAAGCTCATTCCTGCCTTAGGGCCTTTGCACTAACAGTTCCAGTTTCCAGATATCTTTCCTTTTAGGCATCAGATCAAATCTCGTTTTTTCAGATAGGACTTCTGTGACCACCCCAGCTAACAGTAGCTCCCCCATTCTTTACCAGGTAATCACTTTGGTTTATTTTCTTCATAGCATTTACCACTATCAGAAAGTATCTTATTTACTTTTTAAAAAAATATGTTTTCATTGATCTTTTTAGAGAGAGAGGAAGGGAGAGAGAGATAGAAACATCGATGTGATAGCGAAATATCGATCGGCTGCCTCCTGCAAGTCCTGTACTGAGGATCAAGCCTTCAACCCTGGCATGTGTCCTGGCCGGGAAGAGAACCAGGACCTCTCAGTCCATGGGCCGATGTTCAATACACTGAGCCATACCGGCTGGGCCAGTTAAACTTCTTTTTTTTTTTTTTAACATTTTTTTTTTTAGAAAGTATTTTTTTTATTTTTTATTATTATTATTTTTTTATCCTCACCCGAGGACATTTTTCCATTTTTTGTACAGACAGAGTGGGAGGGAGAGAGAAAGGGAAACATTGATGTGAAAGGGACACATCGAGTGGCTGCCACCCGCACGACCAACCAGGGCCGGGGACAAACTGCAACCGAGGTACATGCCCTTAGCGGGAACTGAACCCGGGTCTCTCCGGACCGCAGGCAGATGCTCTAACCGCTGAGCCAAACTGGCCAGGGCTTTTTTAACATTTTTTTCCTTTATTTATTTTGAGAGAGGGAGAGGGGGAGAGAGATAGAAACATTGATGAGAAAAAACATCAATTGGCCACCTCCTGCATGCCCCCCCCCCCCCCCCCCCCCCCCCCCCCCCCCCCGGGGATCAGGCCCACAACCTGGGCATGTGCTCTGACTGGGATTCCAACCATCGACCTCTTGGTGCATGGGTCGACACTCAACCACTGAGCTACACCGGCTGGGCAGGGCTACTTAAACTTTTTTTTTTGGTACGTGCCCCTAACAGGAACCGAACCCAGTACTCTCTGGTCCATTGGCTGATGCTCTAACCACTGAGCAAAACCAGCCAGGGCTACTTAAACTTTTTTTTTTTTTTTTTTTTATCCTCACCCGAGGACATTTTTCCATTTTTTGTTCAGATAGAGTGTGGGAGGGAGACAGAGAGAGAGAAACATCGACGTGAAAGGGACACGTCGAGTGGTTGCCACCCACACGACCCAACCAGGGCCGGGGACAAACTGCAACCGAGGTATGTGCCCTTAGCGGGAACCGAACCCGGGCCTCTCAGGACCGCAGGCCGACGCTCTAACCGCTGAACCAAACCAGCCAGGGCTACTTAAACTTTTTTTTAATCCTCACCCGAGGACATTTTTTGATATATTTTTCAGATAGAGTGGGAGGGAGAGAGAGAGAGAGAAACATCGACATGAAAGGGACACATTGAGTGGTTGCCACCCACACGACCCAACCAGGGCTGGGGTCAAACTGCAACCGAGGTACGTGCCCTTAGCAGGAGGTCTCTCCAGACTGCAGGCCAATGCTCTAACCGCTAAGCCAAACAGGCCAGGGCTACTTAAACTTTTTAATTGCCCTTTTCATAGATATCTTTTTGCATGCCCACTGATGGACATACTAATTTGATATATTGGTTCACATATGTAATTCATAATTAAATACATATTCCTACATTAAGGCCACATGGTGAAAATATTTTTACTGTTAAGATTATGTGGCAAAAATATGTTTGATGTTTTCCAGTCTAGAGAAACTTTCCTACAGGTGGGCAAGGAGACACACATAAGAATGAATTAGTCCAGCCGGTGTGGCTCACTGGTTAAGCATAGGTCAACCCATGCACCAAGAGGTTGCTGGTTTGATTCCTGGTCAAGGCTGGCCCTGTCCCCAGTGGGGGGCATGTAGGAAGCAACTAATCAATGTCCTTGCTCATCGATGTTTCTCTCTCTTTCCCTCTCTCTTCCTCTCTCACTCTAAAATCAATAAAGAAGAAATATTTAATTAAAAAAGTGAATTAAAGAGCTGTTTAGAAAACTGGGAAAAAACTTAAATGTCCATCAGCAGAGGAATGGATCAAATGGGGCATGATTGAGCAATGGAATACAACATTAAATGAATAGATAACAGCTACATGTATCAACATGGGTAAATATTCTAATTTTTATTTTATTATTATTATTTTAAAAATATGTCTTATTGATTTTAGAGAGAGAGAAGGGAAAGGGAGATAAAAACACCAATGCTTCATTGATCAGCTGCCTCCTGCACGCCCCGTACTGGGGATCAAGCCTGAAACCTGGGCATGTGCCTTGTGTACCCTGACCAGGAATCAAACTGGTACATAGGACTGATGCTCACCACACCAGCTGGGCTACATGGGTAAATATTTTAAACAATCTTAAGTGAAAAAAGCACACTGCAGAATGAAAACTCCAACGGACAGAACAATGTGATACATTGTTTATAGATACATATATATAGGTGGATACATATATATATACAAATGTTGTAATATAAATTACATGTGTAGCAATATGTATTATGCTTCAAAACATTCAAGAGGAAGATAAACAACAAATTCAGGATTGTGGTTACCTCTGGGGAGAGAAGGAAGAAAATGAAACTGGAGGAAAGGTTTCAAGTAGGCTTTATTTCTTTAAAACAAACAAAAAAGATGCAAAGTAAATAAATAGTTCATAATTTTAAAACAAAATTTTTTTTTATCCTCAGCGAGGATATTTTTCCTTTTATCTTCAGATAGAGTATGGTGAGGAGAGAGAGAAAAACATTGATGTGATAGAGCCACATTGACTGGTTGCCTCCCGCATGACTGGACCAGGGCTGGGACAAACCATAACCGAGGTACATGCTCTTGACTGGAATCAAACCCGAGACTCATTGGTCTGAGGGCAGACGTTCCAACTGCTGAGCCAAACCAGCCAGGGCTCTCATTGATAGTTTAATTTGCATATTTAAAAAATTATAAATGTGACAGCATCTTTTTATAGTGTAAAAAGCCATTTTGATGTTTTCTGTAAGCTTTCTGTCATTTGTCCAGTTGTATAAATTTTTTTTGAACTGTGAACACTTTTATAATAAAATAGCCAATGTGGGGTGTTTTTTTTTTTATTGTTGTTTTTATATTATTATTATTTTTGTGGCACGTGCCCCTAGCGGGAACCAAACCCAGGACTCTCTAGTCCGCAGGTCGACGCTCAACCGTTGAGCAAAACTGGCCAGGGCTATTGTTGTTGTTTTTTAATGCAGGGGCTGGAGAACCTTCACTTAGGTTTGAGAGGTGCTTGAAAAAAAAACAACTTTGTGTATTGTGGCAATATCAATTTCCTGGTTTTGACAATGCATTATAATTATGTAAGATACTACCACTGGGTGAAGGTGCATGGGTCTCCATGTACTATTTTTTGCAGCTTCCAGTGAGTCTGTAATTATTTCAAAATAAAAAGAAAAAACCTAAAAATTTTGTGTAACTTTTATGGTTGTGGGGGCTCTGCACTACCCTCAACTACAATCCTTGTGCTCTGATGGTTCTCACGCTTGTCAACTGACAAACCCCACTTCTGAGACAGCCACTGGATTAGTAGATATAGAGACATCTGAAGACTTGAAACAGGGGCAAGTCTTTGGAGACTAACTCTGGCTTCTTCCTCTATTACTGTCACATTCCAACTCAGTGAGTACATAGAAGTCATGGGGCTAATATTTACACTATCCTATATTTCTTCTCTCTCTCTCTCTTTTTTTTGTATGTGCCCCTAGCGGGAACCAAACCTAGGATTCTCTGGTCCGCAGGCCGATGCTCCAACCACTGAGCCAAACTGGCAAAGATACTTTATCTATGAGTTTATTTGAGCCCAAACTGACATCAATGCCAGGAAGCAAGATCTTAAATACTCCCTCCTGTATTTCTATTGAGTTGTAGTGTTCTATGTCCATTCATTTACATTATCCCAATGATAATATGGGCAGAGAACTCTCTGAAGAGGCCCCTTGCAAAGTATACAGCCCTTCCCTTTCTTTTTGTTATCATCTTTTTTTTTATCCTCACCAGAGGACATTTTTCCATTTTTTGTTCAGATAGAGTGGGAGGAAGAGAGAGATAAACATCAATGTGAAAGCGGCACATCGAGCAGTTGCCACCCACACGACCCAACCAGGGCTGGGGGCAAACTGCAACCGAGGTACATGCCCTCAGTGGGAACCCAACCCGGGTCTCTCTGGACTGCAGGCCGACACTCTAACCGCTGAGCCAAACCGGCCAGGGCTGTTGTCATCCTTTGCACACAGCTCCCTGAATCTGCTTCCTTTCTCTTCCAGTCTTTTCCCCTAACGAACTCTTACTTATTCTTCAAAAAAGCGTAAGCATCATCTCCCATCTCCACTAAGAAGCCTTTCTGGATCCCCCCACTTTTACAGCTTTCAACTCCACTCCAACAGGCAATTTAACCTAATCTTCAAGGCATCCTACTGCAACCCCCATTAGAAAAAGCTCCATTAACACATTTATCTCACTATACTGTCATTATTAGTTTAAACATGTCTGTTCTCATTGGACTGAAGACCCTTTGAAGTCAGAGATCTTGTGACACTTTTATATTTTCAGTGCCTAAGAGAAGTGACATGCTGTGGGTAATCAATAAACAGCAAATGGAGTCAGGCCATTGACCTGCCAGCCTCCTCTGTAGTTCAGGGAAAGACAACTCAAGTTCTTGGGTAATTTATTTCAGCCCAGAGCCAGGTGTTTTGCAGAGTCAGCAGAAGCTCTGACTGTTGTCCTCAAGCTTTTGTCTCTGCTAAGGTTCCCTGTTGTTGTGTGGCTGTGTGCCTCAGTTTCCTTATCTTCAATATGTAGAAAATAAAAGCATCTCCTCACAGGGTTCTTGGAAGGATTACAAGAGATAACGCATCAGAAGCTCTTACTACAGTGTCTGGCAAAAGATAATGAAGGCTCCTCAAAGATGTTCCTGTGTAAATGATGACTTACTGAGTGAAAAGAATTGACTTGCGCCTGCCTGTTTATTTATTGAGCTCCAATTATATGTCGGGTTCTGCGTTAAATACTCAATGCTAAGTGCAGAGAACCAATCTGAACACACCGGAGTGGCCTTAACACTGACATCAAGGAATCAGGGAAGGTTTTCGGAAATTTGAGTCTAGTTAGGGGAGGAGTTTGGAAAGGTGGGTATGTCGGACGCGGTCAGCAGGTGCCTGATTGAAAGGTGTGTGGGCGTGTGCAGAGCTCCATAAAGTGGGCCGACGCGCTGGAATCGAAGTTGAGTTCCATTCCTGCTTAGTTATTAGCCTGTGACTTTCGCCAAGTTATCGAACCTCCCTGAACTTCCCCAACTGTAAAAAAGTCTGTTAACAAGACTCACCTGCCAGGGTCTTGCAAGACCACGAGACCGTGCGTACGCCAAAATGCGCTCTATTTAGAAGTTACAAAATACCAAGGCGAGTCATTATGGAACCAAGGGGTTCTACGCTCTTTGCGCCTGGGCGTGGGTTTCCTCTCTGAGCGTGCGCAGTGGGCCCGCGGCGTGGCCCGTCAGGCACTGCGGTAGACGCCCTAGGGGCTGGCAGGACCCTGACCCCAAAATGGCGGCGCCCATTGAAGCGGACGCACCTGCCTCTAGCGAAGGCGATGGCGAGGGCAGCGGCTTTGGGTCGTGGCTAGATGGACGGTTGGAGGCGCTGGGAGTGGACCAAGCTGTATACGGTGCCTACATCCTGGGTGTTCTGCAGGAAGAGGAGGAAGAAGAGAAGTTGGACGCTCTGCAGGGTATTCTCTCTGCTTTCCTGGTGAGAAGCCCAGATTCATTTCTTGAACCTCTTACCAGCCCCTGTCAGTACCTTGATCCCAGTTCCCCTACCCAGTGCCCCAGAGGATTAGTGGTCTCACCTAGAAGAGGAATACTCTTCTCAGTTCTGGGCCGCGGGAAAGGGGGTTACTCCCTATCATGGGTTTGGGGAACCAGGGCGGTTGTAGGTGCATAGAGAGGAATAGCTTTCCCTTATTCCTGGCGACAAGGCTCTGTCAGATGCATGTGGGTGAGTATTCTTCGGAAGGCGTTGAAATGTCTGAAGAGAGTTTTATCATAAACATCTAACGATCAATTTTATTCCCATCCGTTGACAGTGTTCAGAGGGGGGAATAATCTAACGATCAATTTTATTCCCATCCGTTGACAGTGTTCAGAGGGGGGAATAAAGTGCTCTGGGATGTCTCTGTCCCTTAAGAGGCACTGTCCAGGACTGTACCATGACAAAAGCCTCTTGGTTCCTATTTTGGAGGTAGGAATCCAAAAAGGTAAGCTCTAGTAGAGGTCTTCCCATGCCAAGGCAGAACTGAAGCAGATATTGTGCTTTATACTTTATAGTATTTAGAAATGCAGTAGTCATTGGTGTGTGTGTGTGTGTGTGTGTAGGGGGTAGTAGGAGTAGAAATAAGGAGAGTTTTAAAGAAGGATAAACTTGGCACTTAGCCTCTTAGAGGCAGATTCAAGAATTCAGAAATGTGTACTTTAAGCTGTGTTTAAGTAGTAAGTCCCCAAATTGTCCGTTTTTCCTGATCATTTTTGCTGCCTTCATCTCCACTAACACTTGGTGAAAGGGTAGTTTATTGATTGGACACCTGGTTGAAATATAACACTAGTGCAGCTGTTCCAGGACCTCCTGGCAAGGGCTCCCGGAGCGTGCTCTGGTGAGGTTGACCTATATTTGGGAAAGCCTTGGAACAGGTTGTGATGCAGCTCATAAGTTCAGTGGAAATACAACACAGTAGAATACATTCTTTTCTTGGACCCTGACATCATAGGTTGTAGAGGGAAAGAGGGGGAGGCAAGCAATTTAGGTTAGTTTTTATTTCCAACTGGGAAGTTTTCTAAAGATTCTATGAAAAAGAAGTTGAAGTAACTTGGGTACCCATTGGTACCAACTCCTTGACCTGTTTGTTTCATGGTTTCATTATTTGGAGCTATATTTTAGCTGATAAAGATAGGCATGCCCCTGGCCGGTTTGGCTCAGCAGTTAGAGCATCGGCCCGAAGACCAAAGGTTCGATTCTGGTCAAGGGCATGTACCTTGGTTGTGATTCATCCCCGGCCCTGGTCAGGGTCATGGGGGAGGCAACCAATCCATGTCTCTCTCATATCAATGTTTCTCTCTCTCTCTCTCTCTCTCTCTCTTCTTTCCTTCCTCTCACTCTCTCTGAAAATCAATGGAAAAATATCCTCAGGTGAGAATTTAAAAAAAAAAAAAAAAAAGGCATGAATTTGCCTTAGACTATTAGTCTCTTGGCCTGAAAGTAATAAATCTTAGAGAAAATACTGAGTTGAGTGTATCAGCCAAAGAAGATTTAACAGAGGAGCAGGGTTTTGATTTAGGCAACAGGTTTATGCTCCAAAAGAATCTGAGTTGGGAATCCTCTCCCTTGAATCTTGGAGTAGGTGCTCTTGACCTAGCAGGTGTGGATTCTGGGACTCACACACGGGATTACTTCTGTGTCCAGAGCCTCAGAAGAGAAACACTCTGTTCTGTGGCTCCCAGACCCTCTTCATGGTTTCTTCTCATCACCAGCTATACCTTCTGCATAGGCTTTGTTCAGGTTGAGGGCTCTCCAGGAAATTAATTAGTCTACTTTTCCAAACAGGAAGAAGATTCTCTCTGTAACATCTGCAAGGAGATTGTAGAACGATGGTCGGAAACTCAGAATGTTGTTACCAAAGTGCAAAAAGAAGGTAGAGTTGGAGTTTTAATGTCTAACCTCCATTGTCTTTTCCAATAACATTTAACTATACAGCTGTCAGGGAGAGAGTTTTTAGTTTTCTCTGTTGAATACTCATTTTCCCTAAGATAATTTAACCTGGAAAACACCCAGCAGCTTTAACTTTTTAACTAAATATTGGTTTCCTTTTCCCTTTTCTACTTTTTCACTTCAGCTGACCACAATTGTCTTCATTGTGGGTTATGCTTTTTTATTTTCCATCCTCTTTCCACCGCCTCTTATAGATTTGCATTGTAGGAATAGGGTCACCTATATTTCCCCACCTTCCATCTTTTTTTTTCTTTATTGATTTTAGAAAGAGAAGAGGGAGAGGGAAAGAGAAATAGAAACATCAATTGGCCACCTCTCGCATGCCCCTCACTGGGGACCTGGCCCACAACCTGGGCATGTGTCCTGACCAGGAACCAAACTGGTGACCTCTTGATGCATGGGTTGATGCTCAACCACTGAGCCATACCGGCTAGGCCCACCTTTTTTATATTCTCATAACACAAATTGTGATTGGTCTTTTTGCTTTATTCAGCTAAACACTTCACCCTTTAAAATGAAAGAGAAGTGAGTGAATATACTCAGCATGAGGATGCAGAAAACTCAAATCATTAGGGCCAAACTTGAATAGAATCTTTCTGAACCACCTACACTCATAGTTCTCATACTTAGCTATATTTTAGCATACTTGATTTATTTTTATTATTTATTTATTTATTTATATCCTCACCCGAGGACGTTTTTCCATTTTTTGTTCTGATAGAGTGGGGACGGAGAGAGAGAGAGATAGAAACATCGACATGAAGGGGATACATCGAGTGGTTGCCACCCACACGACCCAACCAGGGCTGGGGACAAACTGCAACAGAGGTACATGCCCTTAGCGGGAACCGAACCCAGGTCTCTGGCCCGCAGGCCAATGCTCTACCACTGAGCCAAACTGGCCAGGGCTTGATTTACTTTAAAAAAATGCTAGTGCCCCCTGGTTGGTGTGGCTCAGTGGATTGAGCATTGTCCTATGGACTGAGAGGTCCCGGTTGGATTTCAGGTCAGGGCACATGCCTGGATTGTGGGCTCCATTCCCAGTAGGGGCCGTGCAGGAGACAGCTGATCAATGTTTCTCACATGGATGTTTTCTATCTCTCCCTTCCTCTCTCTGTAAAAAAAAAAGAATCCTAGTACCTGGGCCACACCATGAACCAATGATATAAACATCTTTGGCTGGCATTGAGGCCCAGGTAAAAAGATCCCCAGATGATTCTAATGTACAGCCAGGCATGAGAACCATTGCTTTACACTATTGCCTTCTTTGAGAATGGAGAACTTACTATTTAATTTAATTTAATTAAATTAATTAATTAATTAATTTATTTATTTTTATTCTCACCTGAGGACATTTTTCCATTTTTTGTTCAGATAGAGTGGGAGGGAGAGAGAGGAAGAGAGAGAGAGAGAAACATCAACGTGAAAGGGACACATCGAGTGGCTGCCTCCGTCATGCACGACCCGACCAGGGCCGGAGACAAACTGCAACCGAGGTACATGCCCTTAGCAGGAACCGAACCCGGGTCTCCACAGGCCAAAGCTCTAACCACTGAGCCAAACCGGCCAGGGCTATTTTAAAATAAAATCATCTAAGAAGTTCACCTGGCATAATTATCAGCATGAAAGGGACTAGCTTAAGTTGATTCTAGATTCCTTCTTAGGTTTCTGGGTTGAGAGGGGAGAAAGTTGCATGTTTGGAGGCTTAATTTACTATGGTTCTAACACAGTGCTTTTCAACCTTTTTTTTTTAAAGCGGCGGAACTTCAGTATATAAAACAAAAGCAGGGCTGCTCTGATTGAAGACAGATACAAGACCTAAAGCCTGGCCAGCATGGCCTTTCCTTGCCTTTCTTACTGGCACCTCCTTTGAACCCCAGGGCTCTAAGGAGTCAGCAGATGCCACTGCATTTACTCCAAGCACTGCCTGGGTGGACTGGTGGTTTGGTGAGCTTGTTTTTTTCTCACATACAACCTTGTTGTTCCTCTCTTTCCTTCCACCACCTCCCAGACAAAGTACAGGCCATTGCTACTCTAATTGAGAAACAGGCCCAGATTGTGGTGAAGCCCAGGATGGTATCAGAAGAGGAGAAACAGAGAAAAGCTGCCCTCCTGGCCCAGTATGCTGATGTGACAGATGAAGAGGAATATCCTTTTTGGAGTCTCGGCACCGTTTCCTGAGGCTCAAGCCAGAAGTGTTTGCTGATTTACAGTGAGCTTTAGGAGGTTGCCCACTGTGTAGCTTAATTTTCTCTAAAATGACAGTGATCTATGGCCCTTTGTGGGTGTGAGGAATGAAGTTGGAATAGTTGACACTGGACTTCATTTTTCAACACATAATCAAGTATATTTCTGAAAACTTCCCTATAAAACAATAATGCCTTAATAATGGACCATTTATATTGTGTTTTTAGAAAATAAGATTTAGCTGTGTTTCTTTACCTTTCTGTGCAGTACCGTGTAACTTACATCTTTAAATTCTTTTCCAGTTGATGAGAAAACTGATGCACTGAGAGATAAATGGGTAATCAGAAACATTCATATAATTAGTGGCAAAACCAGGACTAGAACCTGGATATTTTAGGGTGACGGATTCCCAAATTTGGAGTAGTTTCATTTGAATCTTTTAAAAAATAAATATTCCAGTGATCACATAATTAAAAGGGAGGCTGAACCCCTAAGTAACACCAAGATAAATCTGGAATTTGAGTGGATACTGTGTAAAAAGAAGGCGTTGCTGGTAGGAGCAGGTTTGGTTCCCTGTAACTTTGACATTTGTTCAGGAAATGCTTAGTTTACTAAGCCCTGCTGAGTGGACATCTTTGGGGCCAACTTGTATTCTAGTTTTTCCTCATGATTTTTCTTGCCAGGGTTGGCAGAGCTATGGTTCCAATGACAAAAATCTCATTTCTTGGGCTAGAAAAGAGTGTTTTAAGCAGTGGTTCTCTGGGGACTTGTTAAAACACAGATTGCTGGGCTCTACCTTCTAGAGTTTCTGATTTAGTAGATCCAGGATGAGGCCCAAGAATGTGCATTTCTAACAAGTTCCCAGGGAGTTCTGGGAAGCACACTTTGAGAACCACTGTTTTAGAGATCATCTTGCCATCCCCTGGCTTCCAGGTAATGTGGCTGTCTACCCAGACCAGCTTAAGTTTCTTTTCAGCCTCCAAGAGAGAAGGGTGTCAACGGAAGCTCTGAACAATCTTCCCTAAGTTGAGACTTCTAAAGATGACTCTCCTGGGTTTACTACCACATCTCTGACAGTGTCCTTCCATTCACTGTGCCTTTCCTGTCCTTCAGTTTATTGAATATTTTCTTATGTTGGATTGGGATGTGCTAACCTTTGTTTTCCATCCGACTTTCCTTAACATCACTTACCGAAGCAGATGAGAAGGATGATTCAGGTGCCACCACAATGAACATTGGTTCTGACAAATGTATCCTTCTCTGAGTCCATCTCCATGTGCTTCTCTACAGAATCCTCTTGCGGATCAGTTATTATTTTGCTGTCATTGCTGGGGGCTCCCTTTACCTCCAGGAACTCATGCCAGGCCAGCATTGTGAGCCCCATTTCTAGTACAGCCCTAAGTGGTCAATTTAGCACGAACTTTCTCCAAAGAAGACATGTTAACTTGTACTTTGAGGGGGTTAGCTTAGAGGAAGGATTTCTAAAGGAAAATAAGAATCTGAACTCTCTGTATATAGCACTGGGTTTCTCAGCACTGTGGAAGCAATTAAAATAATATTGAAGTTTTGGTCTTTGTCCTCAAAGACCTTATAAATTTGTTGGAAAGGATGCAAACACCAAATGCTTTTAAGCTGAAAATACAGGGGTGGGCAAAAGTAGGTTTATAGTTGTGAGTATGTGAAACACAATTTCTTCTTCTTCTTTTTTTTAATCCTCACCCAAGGATATGTTTTTATTCATTTTAGGGAGAGAGAGGAAGGGAGGGAGAAAGAAAAACGTCCATGTGAGAGAGAAACATTGACCAGTTGCCTCCTGTACGCACCCCAAATGGGAATTGAAACTACAACCTAGATGTGTGCCCTGACCAGGACTCAAACCCGTGACCTTTCAGTTTTGGGGACAATGTTCCAGTCAACTGAGACTCACTGGCAAGGGCCAGAGTTTATTCTTATATTCTTTCTTATTATTTACTTGTACTACAACTGCAAACCTACTTTTGCCCACCCCTCTATGGACAGATTGAAGCATATGTGCTGAGAAAAGTCCCTATGAGCAGAATCACTTATGAGAAGCTTCCCAGAAAAAGTGAAATTAGAAATCTCCCTTCATTAAGGTGAGAAATATGGTGGATTATCTGGAGGAGGGGGTATTTTAAGGAGACGTTTATTTTAAATCACTGAAGCAGAAAAGTTATGTTTTAAGAGTAGAGAGGAGCTTGTCTGGTAGTAACAGGTTATGTTTTTAAAGTTGTAAGAAATGAGAGGTGAAGTTTTTGGCTGGGTGTTTTCTAACTGTGGCTAAATTTACTATTTTATAAATTCAGAGTTTGTGGTTAATAGAACATGGTTTCACTAAAGCTTTAGTGGTCTAGGGAAACAAATTGATATAGTATATGTCAACTTATTTTACTCTTTGCAAGCATTTTAATAGTGCCAAGTACATAAAAATTTTGCCCCTTATATTAGTTTTGTTTTGTTTTCCTGACCTGAGGATATTTCTCTACTTATTATCTGATAGCGTGGGAGTGGGGGAGGGAGAGAGACAGAGAAACATCGATGTGATAGAGCCACATCGAGTGGCTGCCTCCTGCATGACCCAACCAGGGCTGGGGACGAACCGAAACCAAGGTAGGTGCTCTTGACCGGAAACAAATCTGAGACTCATTGGTCTGCAGGCTGACGCTCTAACCACTGAGCAGAACTGGCCAGGGCATTGCCACTTATATTAATACTCTATTCACTAAAATTCTCATAGATACTCCAACAACAGTCTGCCATTGAATGATATAAGTATTTATTCTAGAATGAAATTTTATTTTCATAAAATATTTAGATTCAGATAAGTCTGAATGAGATTTTTATTCTGAGGGTTAGTTTTTAACTTGTGTAATGGTAGTTCCAGGATTTCCAGTTAGACCAAAGATAAACATAAGTGTTTTTTTTTTAAACTAGGAATAGGTAGAAAGTATTCAAGACTCAGCATGTGGAGGGTGGACAGCAAGAATGGAGAGAGAGAGCAGTAACTGGGCCTGTGTGACCTCTACCCTAATCCCTTAACTCATTGTAGTGCTGTTCCGAAATACCAATGTGGAAGATGTCCTGAATGCCCGAAAACTGGAGCGAGACTCGCTTCGGGATGAGTCTCAAAGGAAGAAGGAACAGGACAAGCTGCAGAGGGAGAGGGACAAACTAGCCAAGCAGGAGCGCAAGGAAAAGGAAAAGAAAAGGACACAGAAAGGGGAACGAAAGCGATAACCTTGGTCAACTTGATGCTTTCTCCTCATGAACTGATCAAAAGGAGAACTGATTGTGCACGTGTGTATTTAAGAGCAATGAGAGAACATTGCAAAGTGGTTTCTCAAGGCATTTCCCTTTTGTTTACATGGTCAAAAGGAGAATCACACTTTTAATTATAAAATGTGCCATGTCTCTGTGGTGTGGATAATCAGATTGTTGTAGATGATATCTGTACCAAAGATCTGGAATGGGGACAACCTTTATATTTTAGTACTGAAGTCCTGTGCTCCTTTTGGCCACTTTCAAAAGTCTTCCCTCACCTTGGATAAACAGCAGGAATATTCAGAAAGCTGACAGTTACATTTTTCATCCTGAAGGATCAGAATCATGACCACTCCTTCCGTGAGATGAAATGTGGGAGAATAAAAATTGCTTCAGAAGTACTATCCACCCCTAAATGTATTGTTTTAAGACTCAAATAGAAAGTTAATAAAGAGCCCTGCCTGGATCCAGATTTTATGTTACATGACAACAAACTAGGAAAATGAGAAGAAATTTGATGGATGTTAGAATATTTGAAATTGAAAAAAAAAAAAAAAGTTCACCCTATGGGAGGAAAGGAAGTATCTTTTTTAATTAGAGAGTCATCTACATTTTTCATCTAGGTTGTGATTGTTAAGAAGGGCATATCAGTATTGTGTGCAAGGATATTATTGTTAGCTAAATTACTCTTAATTGCTAGTAGAGATTTTAATCCTGGTTTGCCCTAAACCTTGAATATAAAGACCTGATAATTTTAGGTTTAGAGGAAATGGGGGAACCGCCTTTTAAGAAACACTGGAAATCTCTTGCTAACACAAAGATATTTAAGAGTGTACATAGTAAGTGCTCAACAAATTAATTGAATGAGTGAATGGGAAAATTGCTTGGGAGAGTAAAAAGTGAGCAGTAACTCTCCATTTCTACTTTTATCACAAGCTACATTTAATTTTAAATTGGGCCTTTCTCTTCTTCAGGCAACAGACTGTCAAGAAGCCTGAAGAAAGCCATTTTTCCGACAAAACAAAGTAGAAATTTTATACCAGGGGTCAGCAGATTTACTGCCTGCAAGACAAATTTGGTCTAGTCTGTTTTTGTATGATGCAAGCTAACAATAAATTTTACGTTTTTAAAGGGTTGTTAAAGAATATATGACAGAGACCTTATGTGGCTTGTAAAGCCTAAAATATTTACTATCCAGCCCTTTGGAGAAAAAGTTTGCCGACCTCTGCTTTATACCACTGAGATTAACAAAAGTTTTTACCTTTGTGCAGAAGGTAAAAAGAAGCATGGTTAAGGAAAAGATGTGTTACCACTATACACTCCTATAACTTACGTGTCATTGGCAAACATTTTAAAAATAACCACCTTTTTAAAAAATAAACTTTATTTAAATCAGTGTCTCCTGATTCCTTCCAGCTACCTATGGAAATGAATTGTGTGGATGGATAGTTGCTTAGGAATGTGTTCAATTTTACTTTATGCTTTGTTTTGCTTAGCCCTAATCTACCAACAGAACTTTTTCCTGAAATCCATTAATTCTCTGCCTCAGTTTTCCTTTCTGTGAGGTTGGGTATTAGGTGATCAGAAAGTTTACTTTGTTTTTTGGAAACTCAGTAAACTGGCTTTGAAGTACTGTTGGTCTTAGAGCTTTATGTGGCAGTAGCAATAGGCTGAGTCTACAGATAGCATATGAGAGAGCCTATTGTAATTTAGTAAATCTTTATTTTGGATTTTTGGTTGATTCTCACCTTGATTTGTTTGGGTCTCTGAAGCAGTGTTGGGTTATATCCATGTTTCAATCTGTATAACAGTTAATTCTTTCTTCTGGGAGTGTTATGCTGCATTAGTTTATGATCAGTGGTGTTTGGTTGCATGACCAGTCTTTTTGTTTGCTAGCTCATATCTACTCTTAAGCTTAAAGTGGTATAGTTTGGCCATGGCACAGGCCCATTTAGACCATGGCATGTCACTGTTTGGGTTCTTTGTGTGGAGTCAAGTAGAAGCTACCATGGTTTTTGAGTAGACTCCAGGGCTGGTAATTTTTGGAACCTATTGTCTTTTGGCTCAGTGTGTTATAGTTAAGAGTACTCTTGAACTAATGTTTAAACAGAAAGAAAAGGATCAGCTCATTAGACTCTGAGTTAAGTTTATTCACTTAACTCAGGTGCTAATAAATCCTTTACATCTAGACTGTTCAGTATTGCGAAAGGCAAATTTTAAACAAAGATATCATATATGGTATGATTGATACTTTAGGCCAAATTTGGAATTTCAGTCATAACATTCTCAGCCTTCTAAAACTTTACAGTAGCAGATTATTCAAATAGGAAGAACACTGATATAATTCAAGGTAGTTTTCAACTACCTTTATATAAAGTGCTTTTGCTATTTAAAAAAATGTTGAGTATGCCAAGTTCTTTTGGATTAGAAATGATGGGAACATGAGTTTCATCAGTTTCACTACAAGTCTTGTGTGATGTTAAGTTTGTTTTCATAGGTTGTAATTCAGAAGTACTGTATAATACTTAAGAACCATCCATGAAAGGGTATACCATAGAAAGGGACAACCAACTAATTTGAGAATTATAAATAGGATGACACAATGAAATTTCAGAGTTTCTTTTGTGTTTGGTTTTTGTTAATGGGCTGTTTCATTTCTGACCACTGTCATGTCAAAGCTTCCCCAGAATTTTTACCCTAGTTTGCCTGGATTAACATAAAGGCAGAGTAAAAATTTTCATCTGAAGGAGGTAAGTCTAGATGCAAGGATATCTGAATGGCATTGGTTTACCTACCAACATTATTACTTATGTGTTCATAGTTATGAAATTTAAAACTTAGCACCAGTTTTTTTGTGTGTTTTTTTCTCTCTCTTTTTTATCCTCACCCGAGGACATTTTTCCATTTTTTGTTCAGATAGAGTGGGAGGGAGAGAGAGAGAGAGAGAGAGAGAGAAACATCGGCATGAAAGGGACACATTGAGTGGCTGCCACCCGCACAACCAACCAAGGCCGGGGACAAACTGCAACCGAGGTATGTACCCTTAGCGGTAACCGAACCCGGGTCTCTCTGGACCACAGGCTGACGCTCTAACCGCTGAGCCAAACCGGACAGGGCAGCACCAGTTTTTATCAGTTAAATGAAATTTAGTTTTCTGACATGAGTGAATTTTAAGGTTAGAAACTAATACAGATGTAAAAAATGAAACCAGATATTTTCAACAAAATTTATTTTCTTTTCCTGAGAGACTAAATTAGTACAATATTTGTTATTATAACATCCAACATGTCTTATGTCAAACTTAACCACTTTCTATGCAGTGACTGTGGTGGGGTGATCTATTTTATTTGACTACCTTCAATGTAATTCATTTGGTAGTTCTAAGGCATATCAGTGATCAAAATGTTTCTCCCCACAGTTACTCCTGAATTCTCAATCAGTTTCTTCCGCACATCATCTAAAGAAAATTTATGTGGTGTGATTACACTCTTTTTTTTATACCAGGATTTCCAAAACTAGGAAAAACACCAACATTTAAAACATCAGTGTTTCTAGTCAAGATAGTTCAATTAAATTTCATCAGTACATTATATCATAGTTTAACTCATGCTAGAAATATTAAAACCCAAGATCTGAGTCACATAATATCAACATTTCATATTAATGAATAAATTACTTGGGTTTCATACAAAGATATTAAGTGATGAGAAACAGAAAAAGTGAAGCTTTCAAGAGCTCTTTTAAAAAAATACAGAAGCAAACTAATGAACACAACTACACAAAATATACACTAACCAATTGCAAACTAAACTAGTTAAAGATTAACCTTAAAAATATATTTTAAAACTTCGTGATACCCTCATAAAAGGCAGCAAACTAAGGGTATTAAAACAATAGTCATTATTTTAGTTACTGTGCATCAAATCTAAAAGATCCAGATAAAGGAAATGTTTTTTTTCGATTCAATTTAAATACTTTAAAATTTGAAATATTTAATAATTGATAGTATATAATTAAGTTTTAAGAATATACACAAATGATTTGAACAGGTTTTATATTCAGTAACTTGCATGGTTTTTACACTGGCACTTTTATCACTAATTTAGGAGAATCAGATGCATTTCCCTCCATATACTTAGGCAACTAAGATTTCAAATGATAAATATGGTAGTAGTTTAAATATTAAAGTTTTACATGAATATTGGGTTCATTCTTGTTTTCCTTTGTTTCCTAGGTATTATCCAGTTTTGTAAGGAAAACACTTTTATATCACAATCAAAACTTGTCTTGCTTACTAGACTGTAGCCATAATTGGGTTACAGTCATTTAGATTCATTATTTGGAATTATACTTACTAAGGCAGACCTAAATGAAAACTTATCTTCTAGAAGAATTTCACATTTGCATTTACCTGCACTGCAGAATGGGTTTAAGCAATATTTTAGCTGTTAGGAAATATTAATTTACTTAAACTTATCTTTGACTACTCAGAACTCCTAGAGTAGTCAACCTTCTCTTTGAGTTCACTTTAAACTATATCTGATTCATTCCAAATATATTTTTAAATAGAAGTTAGACTTCATTAAGGTATTAAACTCTAAATCTGAAAAAAAATGCATTGAAATTTTCAATTTGACAAGTTCATTAAAATTGTTGAGCGTGTCTTGATACATTTACTTATCAGCTTTTTATTCTTTCTGCTGGCACTTCCTTAATGTTTATTTGCATCACCTCTCTGGTTCATTGGATTGCTACTATTTATACTTTCATGGACTTTATCTTCGCAGTTTACTATATCTTGTGAAGCCTTTTCCACATCTGCTTGGCCAGCTGTATTGGCTGTTTTTGGCAAGGTCATCTGCAGTGCACACCACAGAGTAGTGCGTGCCTTCCGAGTAGCCACACACATCTCTTTAATTGCTGAAGCAAGGGCAAAAACATCTGTAAAAAAACATTCAGAGCCAGTTCACATTAGATACCATTTAAGTTTCCCTTCACTTTTTTTTTTAAGTAATTTTTAATTGATTTTTTTTTTTTAGAGAGTGGAAGGGACAGAGAGATAGAAACATCCATGTGAGAGAGATACATAGATTGGCTGCCTTCTGCACACCCCCAACTGGGGATCAAGCCTGCAACCTGGGCACATGCCCTGACCGGGAATAGAACCAGGACCTCTCAGTCCATGGGCTAACACTCAATCCACTGAGCCACGCTGGCTGGGCAAGTTTCCCTTAACTCTTTTTTTCCCTCACCCGAGGACATTTTCTTTGCATTCATCTTCAAATAGAGCGGGAAGGAGAGAGGGAGGAAGAGAGAGAGAGAAACATCGATGTGAGAGAGACACATCAACTGGTTGCCACCCACACAACCCCAACCAGGGCCAGGGACAAACTGCAACTGAGGTACATGCCCTTAGTGTGAACCATCCCAGGTCATTGGTCCGCGGGCTGACGCTCTTATAGCTGAGTCAAACCGGCCAGGGCAAGTTTCCCTTAACTCTTAAACAAAACTCAGTGCTGAGCTACTAAATGATCAAATATTATTTTTATAAAAGAAGGATAGATATTGACTAAGCTAACCAAATTTCTTGATTTAATATGTATTTAAGTGTTGACACTTTAGCCTGGCCAGTGTGGCTCAGTGGTTGAGCATTGACCCATGCGCCAGAAGGTCGAGGGTTAGATTCCTGGTCAGGGCACATGCTCAGGTTGTGGGCCCGATCCCCAGTGAGGGGCATGCGGGAGGCGGCCAATCCATGTTCTCTCTCAAGGCTGTTTCTATCTCTCCCTCTAACTCAGTAAAGAAAAAATTTTTTTATAAAAGTGTTGACACTTTAGCCCTGGCCAGTTTGGCTCAGCCGTTAGGTTAAAGCATTGGCCCACTGACTGGAGGATTGTGGGTTCGATTTCCAGTTGGGGACATGTGCCTGGGTTTCAGGTTTGATCCCCTGGCCCTGGTAAGGGTCATGCAGAAGGCAACCAGTCAATGTGTTTCTCTCACATCAATGTTTGTTTATTTCTCTTTCCCTCCCTCCCTCCCTCCCTCCCTCCCTCCCTCCCTCCCTCCCTCCCTTCCACTCTATCCAAAAATGGATGGCAGGATATCCACTGGTGAGGAATAAATAAATAAATAAATAAATGTGTTGACGCTTTATTTCTGACTTGTATGATGACTATGCTTTGGGTAGAACACATACTTTGATTGGATTATAATAAAGCAGATTAAGTTAACAAAACAGATCAAGGTACTTTTGGAGTAGATTATGTGGGCATCTTTTACCAATTTATTCTTTTTTTTTTTAATCCTCACCCGAGGACACTTTTCCGTTTTTTTGTACAGATAGAGTGGGAGGGAGA